ATAACAGTGTAAATGTGCTGTCCCCTCAAAATAACTCAACACACAGCCATTAATGTCTAAACAGTTGGCAACAAAAGTCAGTACACCCCTAAATGGAAATGTCCAAAATGGGCCCAAGGAGCTATTTTTCCTCGCCGGAGTCATGTTACTTGTTAGTTTTACAAGGTCTCAGGTGTGAATGGGGAGCAGGTGTGTTAAATTTGGTGTTATCGCTCTCACACTCTCTCATACTGGTCACTGGAAGTTCAACATGACACCTCATGGCAAAGAACTCTCTAAGGATCTGAAAAAAAGAATTGTTGCTCTACATAAAGATTGCCTAGGCTATAAGATTGCCAAGACCCTGAAACTGAGCTGCAGCACGGTGGGCAAGACCATACAGTGGTTTCAAAGGACAGGTTCCACTCAGAACAGGCCTCGCCATGGTCCACCAAAGAAGTTGAGTGCACATGTTTGTAGCGGATGGCACTGGGCTGTCCTGAAAATTTCATGTGAATAGCTGCATTCGTGTAAACTGCTGGTTTTATATGTGTTTAAAAGAAATGTATTCCTCTGATTGTTCGGTAGAATCATTCGAATAAACTAAGGGAATGAACCTACCGAACAATCAGACCTCCCCTGTGTGAAGTGTGTCCTCAATTACCCGTTGCAACATTGTTGTGAACGGGTAATTGACAAGTTAATTACCCGTTCTCGGGGGTGGCCGCCATTCGACAAACGAACACGTGGCGGCGGCCATTTTAAAACTCCCGAACAGCGGTGTTTTGCCGTCGAGTGTCTGGTACTCAAATTGGACACTCGACTAGGCGAACACCGCTGAAACCTCCACAAGCCCGGTCTGTTCGGTTCCTAACTACCGAATGGCCCCTCGTTCGGTAGACAGAAAGAACCGAACGAGGGGATTCAGGCGAACCCTCCCTAGCCGCTATAGCTAGAGGTTTTCGTGCCATTCATTCCCTGACTCCAGGACCGACCGCAGGGCCCATTCACATGGAACCGCATTCGGCTGCTTCACTCAGTGCGGTCGGTCATTTTATTCCCTCCATAAATTTCCCGAACCCCTGGTCTGATCTGGGTGATTTTTGGATATGTTGTTCACCCAGATCAGGGCTACCAGGGGATGTATGATTTAAGGGGGTACCCCTACGTTTAGGGGTACATCCAGAAATGGGGGGAATTGCTGTACTGGATAAGGGGATTATGATGCAGGCTGAGGGGAGGAGATGTGTGGGAGGTTACCAGGACAGGATTGGCTACTGTACTAATGACTACATCCCTCCCTTGCATGGGAGCAGGCTTTAAAAGGCCAGTGTGGAATAAAGCTTTCAGTTCTGCTCCTGAAACTGTGTGTCGTCCAGTTATTGGGATTGCTGTTGGGATACTGCTGTTATTTTGCCTGCTGGAAACCTTGCCTGTGGATTTACAATTTACTTGTTCCTGAGCCTCACTTGGATTATAAGCGGAGATAACCTGGGGAATATTGCATCTCTGCTACAATGTTCATCGTCATATCCAGAGATTGTCTTTGAGAAATAGACGTATGAGTGCTGCCAGCATTGCTGCAGAGGTTGAAGGGGTGGCGGGTCAGCCTGTCAGTGCTCAGACCATACGCCGCACACTGCATCAAATTGGTCTGCATGGCTGTCATCCCAGAAGGAAGCCTCTTCTGAAGATGATGCACAAGAAAGCCCACAAACAGTTTGTTGAAGACAATCACACTAAGGATGGATTACTGGAACCATGTCCTGTGGTCCGATGAGACCACGATAAACTTATTGGTTTCAGATGGTGTCAAGTGTGTGTGGAGGCAACCAGACAAGTGTGTATTGCCTACAGTCAAGCATGATGATGGGTAGAGTCGTCATCTGGGCCTGCATGAGTGCTGCTGGCACTGGGAAGCTACAATTCATTGAGGAATCCATGAATGCCAACATGTACTGTGACATACTGAAGAGGAGCATAATCCACTCCCTTCGGAGACTGGGCCGCAGGGCAGTATTCCAACATAATGACCCGAAACACACCTCCAAGACGACTACTGCCTTGCTAAAGAAGCTGAAGGTAAAGGTGATGTTTGTTTATCTGTATGTGTGCCAGTGTATGCACCTGTGTGTCTTTGTAACTGTCACCCCACCACACACACTGTCACCCCCCTGTTTCTCACCAATGTCATACTCACCTCCCATCGCTCTGCCATATTCACGCAATCACACTCACCTTCTCTAGCACTGTCACACTTCCCCCTCCATTCCGGTCACACTCATTCTCCATCACTCTGTCACACACTTGCCCCCTTTTACCCTGCCATACTTAATCTATCACATTAAACCATTCAATTCTGTCATACTCACCCCCCAACAATGCCACACTCACCCTGTGGGGCGTCAGTGAGACACATGTAGGGGCTTGGGGCGTGAATGTGACACATGGAGGGGCTGGGGGATGGGGCCAGGGCAATTTTTCTAGTTACGCTTCTAGATCCAGCGTCCATAATAATAATTAGTATAAGGAAGTCTGATATCCAGGAGGGCAGCAGGCATGCAGGGGTGATCCAAGAGAGTAGTCAGGAGCAAGGGGCAGGGTCTGGATCCAACAATGGATTTTAGGGAGAGTAGTCAGGAACACAAACTGAGACTGCAAGATAAAAAGGTTACTGTGAGAATAGTCGGGAACATGAATGTGACAGACCCATCCGTATGAACTAAGATTGCTGTGTTCGTCTGTTTGCTTGTTTCACGAACTCATTTGTATGCTTGGATTTAGATGAATTTACTTTTTACTGAACAAAACTGTCGAACGGACGACCACCCAGAAGAGAAGTGTGATGCTGGTTAACCTATTGATCCCAATTAGAACGTTGTGGTTAACCACAGACACTTCTCAACTAAAACCGAATACAGGGTGGTCGTCGTTCGTATGTCGACCACGAGGCGGTGGCCATTTTAAAACATGCGAAAGACCAGCGGTGTTCGGTACTAAATTCATGGAACTGAAAACGGACACTTTTTCAACCAAACACCGCTGATGCCGTCGACCTCCCTTCTCCAATCGACAAAAGTGTGCGAACACCGGCCGTTTGGGAGATGTAAAGGCACGAATGGACTTACCCCAGATAGCCTTCCCATGGAGTCAATCGCATACCGAAGAACTGTAATAGACTTTGACTCCATGGCGATTGAACTATGCGTATGGGATCTGAGCGCTATTCGCCAATAATATGCACTCAGATCCAGGCTATCTGGGGATGTGTTACACGAATGAGAAACGTTCGGCAGTTATAAAGTTATATATTTTTATGTGTTTTGTGATTTGTATTTAAAATGGCGATTTGCCTCTGCTCTGGGAGATAATTGAATTACTTCTCAATTATGTCCCGGGCAGAGGGGAGGAAACTGTGATGAATGATGGGAATATTGTGTGACTGTATGTCCTGAAATGCCATATGTCCATCTGCTATTCCAGTCTCCCATTTGGTCCCCTATTGGAGTGTCCACCAAGTGGGAGACCTGCATAAATACGGGCGGGTAGACCACAGTAAACTCAGTTCGTGTTTTACCCTCAATGCGGAGCTTGGTCTCGTTATTGGGGGGATTTTATTACCGGCGACTAAAAATTACTAGACTACAAATACCTTTCAGCTGCCCGGAACAAATCAAATGCCTGTCAATCTATGGACTGATTTGCATAATTAATCGATCAGTTCGTCCATAGATTAAAAGGCACTTGATTTGTTTGCACAGTTGAACAGTATTTGCAGTCTAGTAATTACACAAAAACTTTAATCCGTGTGACACTGAATCATGACATCACTGAGCAAGAAACTTAGGTGTGCGTTAACCCTCTTGTGGACATTCTGACACTACCAGTAATATCAGGGAAGCACACAGGTTAGAGATGCAGGACTTACTAGAATGGCACTCTGATAAAAATAAGTAATTTTTCTTTGTAAATATGGATTTTCCAGCAACAAAGCTTTTATTGTTCACTTATCTAGCAGACTTTTGCATTCAGTTTCAAACATATTGCGTTTTGTCTGAATTTTGGGCAATGACCAATTCTTACAAATTCTGCAACTCCAAAACATTATATTAACGAATCACAAAAAAAAGCAAGACAGGGAATTGATGAGCGGTTTCATTTAATTCGTGAATTCTGTCTGTAGCAAAGAAAAAGATGTCTGATTGAAAAAATGATGATGGATGGTTTTGGAATAGTCACTAAATGTTGATTTATTCACAGAACAAGTGAAAAGTGACCAAAAGAGTGAAAAAAAGGGGAAACGATATAAACAAATCTATACTTATATAGTATAGATTTAATAAACATAAAATGTATACATATAAATATATTATAATAAAGATTATTTTCTACTCCTCTTTTTTCCCTCTGTTGGTTACTTCTCAATTAAACTGTGTTTAGCACTGTATTGCAAAATATACACATAATGATTTTTTTTCATTCTTTATTTTTGTAGCATATTGGTATACATAAAAAGGCTTGCGTAGACATTTCTGCAGAAGGATGCACAATAGTAGTGGATATAGATTTAGTAGAAAATGTCAAAGAAAAATATTGTGCTTTGTATAATAATAAACAAGATAAAGACAATGGACTAACTATTAATGAAGACATGCTGTCATATTAAACAATATAGTTGTAATGCCACTGGGTTCTGGTCATAATAAAAAAGGATGAGGAGGAGAACAGGAATCCCTGCACTAACAACAGGATGATAACAGTAGATATGCAGGATCTACGCCGTCAAAAATTCTTGGGGGGCGTGGCTTACCGCCGGAGCTGAGCAGACGCATGTAGGAGCAGCTCCCGGCGAGAAAACCGTGTAGAGCAACGGATAAGCGGAACACCGAGCGATCACCTACCAGACTGCATTGAGCAACCTCCCACGATGTCACGGCGGCAGAAACCGAAAGCAGGGAAGTCGGACCGAGCTTCGTTCTTCCTTACAAAGACCGCGGCCTCCAAGCAGGGTGAGGAGCAAGATGGCGGCGGCCAAAACAGGCGGGAACACCCCCCCTCACCTCAGACACCACCTGCACATGCAGAAAATGAACAGCCCCTGACGATGAGAGCCATCAGGGAAATGATGGCTGAATTCTCAGACAATATACAGCTGAATATAAAAAAAACAGCTCCAAGTACTGACAGCTGAAATACAAAAGGACATCCATGACATTGGCAACCGCACCTCCCAGATAGAAACAAAGATGGATGAGTATGCAGTGGCACACAACAGCTTAGCTGACAAACTGCAGGAACTGGATGACTCCCTAGAAACACACAGGTTAAAACTAGCAGACATGGAGGACAGAGCTCGGAGGAACAACATCAGATTCCGGGGGATCCCGGAATCTGTACCAAATGCAGAACTGCACAATTATTTGTTAGACATGTTCCAGAGCCTCACACCAGAAACCCACCCGGATCAACTCATCATAGACAGAGCACACAGGCTACGCAGACCAAAACACCTGCCCACGACAGCCGCACGAGACGTAATTGCGAGAATTCATTTCTTCCACGCCAAAGAGAGGATAATGAAAGCCAGCAGAAAAGCGGGTATGCCAGAAGCCTACTCTTCCATCAAGATCTTTGCGGATCTCTCAGCGGACACGCTACACTTCAGGAAAACCATGGGGCCGGTCACCTCCACCCTGCGGGAACACAACGTGAACTACCGCTGGGGCTACCCGGCTAAACTCCTAATCTCTCACCACGACGCAATACACCCCGTCAACACAGTGGCGCAAGGTGTCCAGCAGCTGAAAGAATGGGGAATCCCGATCCAGAACCTACACCCCACCAAAGCAGCTAAAGTTCCGCGGATGTCCCCGGAGTGGACAACACAATGAGAACTGAACATTCCTACCAACATACGTAACTATGTGATGTATATAACAGTTGATAGATAGATGCATAACTCCATTAGAGTTGTTCCTGGGAGAGCAAACTGGTTGACACTCTTCTATAATCTATGTACTGATAGTTGATATTTACCGGAGTACATGCGCAAGGCATAACAGAAAGCGCTGTTGCTGGCTAGAATCTGTCTCTGCCCGATTAGAGGTACTAAAACACCCCCTACCGGGGGCTGAACAGTACTGAGAACTATATCCTATACAATCTGCTATTATTGAGTACAAGTAGTTAAACGGTAAAGAATAGAATGTTAGAAGCGGGTTGCACACATTGTTAACTATCATAGTTGTATGTTAATACTGCTCACGGTTTTTGGCTTTTTCTATGGTGCACGACCTAGAGAATTGCCGACTTCACCTCCACCCCCCCGGCAGCCGCGCCTCCATGCTAGGCAGCAGGGTATGGCCCCACTTCTTGGAGCTGAAATGGGTACCTTACCCACTTGTTCTTTTCACCCCAATTTCCCCCCCTACTTACTTCCCTAAATCCCTGACTGGTCACATTCTAAGACTTCACAGTGGCGCGTGCAGTGCACAACCCCCACTCAGGACAATTGCAGTAACCTGTTATAATTACGGAGGGACGAAAACCGACCCGCCTAAGCACACTGTTTCCAACTGACACTCCTAAATGAAATTACTAACCTATAACGTCAAGGGGCTGAACACCCCAGGTAAACGAAGGCTACTATTGCAAGAACTAAAAGAACAAGGGATCGACATAGCCTGTATCCAGGAGACACATTTTAAAAAGACCAGGGCCCCTGAAATCTTCACTAAACTATACCCAAACCAATACCATGCCCTGTCAGAAAGTAAAACGAAAGGGGCCTCCATATTCATACATAAAGATGTGGCATTTCAGGAGCAGGCGAAATTAGTAGATGCCCAAGGGAGATATGTCTTACTAGTAGGTCTTTTTAATAATGCCCAATATACCTTGGTATCTGCCTACTTCCCAAACACTGGGACGGAAAAATACCTCAGACGTCTTCTGCAAGACATAGATAAATATAGACAAGGTAGACTGGTGCTCTGCGGAGACTTTAATTTCTTCACCTCCCCAGATGTCGACACGACTGCCCTACCCCAGGGGACGAGACGGGCGACCGTAAACTCCATGTGCAAGGCAGTGTCCAAACTTCTCACACTACACAACCTATATGATAGTTGGAGAGTGCTGCACCCAGGGGAAAGAGACTACTCCTTTCACTCGACGGCACACAACACGTATACCCGTATAGACACTTTTTACGTGGATCAACCCACGTTAGCACAAGTCTCTACATGCTCTATGGGTGACATCACTTGGTCAGACCATAGCCCAGTGTACTTGGTGTTACATGACTCTTTTCAGTTTAAAGGACGGGGGACTTGGAGAATGAATGACTCCTTACTCCGAGACCACGACTTTATGAACCAAATAAAAGCTGAACTCATTGCTTACTTTCAGACAAACTCCACTGGGGAAGTGTCAGAACAGACTGTGTGGATGGCACACAAAGCCGTAGTACGAGGCCTATTTATCAGGCGCTCGTCCTACCTCAAAAAACAAAGACAAACCACCATACTTGAGTGCCAAACGAAACTAGCGGCCCTTACCACCCAAAACAAACGATCCCCCTCCCCACTTCTAGCAAACCAGATCCAATCTCTGACCAACCAGCTACATCAGTTACAGGCAGCCAAAACTGCGTCCCTACTTCATAGAATGAAGGCAACCACATATCACCATAGCGAGAAAGCGACAAAACATCTGCCAATCGGCTGAGGGAGAAATTGGCAGCCTCCAAAATAGCTTACTTACAGGGCCCAGATGGGTCCAAAATACAAAACCCCCTAGATATCACCCAAGAGTTTGCAAAATATTACTCTGACTTGTATAATTTGGGAGATCACCCAGGCACAACCCCCTTAGATGAAAACGCTATCCAAAGGTACTTGGACCAGCTCCCTCTGCCCAGTATAGACAGATACCAAAGGAATGCACTACTTGAACCCATCACTCTTTTTTTTATAAATTCTTTATTTATAACATATATGAGGTTACAGAACAAAGAGAGGGTGTAGAGGGGGTACTGTCATACACAACAAAAACCACAGAGATTTACAATTCGTACATTTGTATATCAATGAACAGAAAGTTTATGGGATCTCGTGGGATGTGCATTCTCGTACCTTCACGTGTATGAGAGGTGTTCCTCTTGGAACCCATCACTCTTAATGAGGTTCTACACACCATACAACACCTCCCTACAGGGAAATCCCCGGGAGCAGACGGACTCCCTAATATATATTACAAAACTTTCGCTGAAATACTTGGCCCCAGACTCGTACAAGTGTTCCAGAAGGCCACGGACACAGGAGTACTCCCAACTGAGATGCTCTTAGCAACGATAGTGACCATACCCAAACCGGTAAAACCTGCTGACCAATGTAAGAATTTCAGACCCATTTCGTTGTTAAATACGGATGCTAAGATCTACGCCAAGATCTTAGCGACCAGAATAGGGAAAATACTACCGACACTCATACATGACGATCAAATGGGATTTGTGTTGGGGAGACAGGGCCTGGACAATACCCGGAAACTGGCTCTCGTGTTAGAGAGGATGAGGAGGTCCGGCCCAGGAGGTCCGGCCCAGGCCTGGGTTGGCCTTTCCTCCACAGGGTGCTGCAGAGATATGGTTTTCCACGCCAACTCATCACACAGATATTTGCTCTATACTCACACCCCACTGCAAGGGTACTACAAGCGGGTTTTCTGTCTAACCCCTTTAAAATTACTAATGGCACACGACAGGGGTGTCCCCTGTCCCCCCTACTTTACGTTTTAGCCCTGGAACCACTACTCACATGGATCAGAACCCGAACAGAAATAACAGGGGTGGATTGGCATGGCCGCCAAATAAAGATAGGGGCGTTCGCAGATGATATCCTACTGTACATCTCCCACCCCGAGAGATCTCTCCCACATATAATGCGACTCATACATGAATATGGGACACTGTCCTATTACTCCCTCAATACCTCCAAAACGCAAGCATTAGGTCTACGCCTAGACCCACAAGTCTTGGCGAACCTACACAAAGACTACCAATTTGAATGGAGGAAAAAGGACATAAAATATCTAGGCCTGACATTTACTAAAAACGCCACAGATATGTTCCCAGCGAACTATAACAGGGTTTGGGAGGACTGTCTTAAAACAATGAAGGGCTGGGACCGGTTATTTTTAACTTGGTCGGAGCGGATAGTAGCACTAAAAATGACCATACTACTGAAACTTCAATACTTATTTAGGAACCTACCCCTACGAGTACCACCATCGTACTTCAATACCATCCAGGCCAAACTGCTACAATTCACTTGGGGAAAGAGACGGGCACGAATCTCACAAAAAGTGCTCCTAGCCTCCACAGCACAAGGGGGAATGGCATTCCCTAACGTCAAATTGTATTACCAAGCTGCAGTACTGTCCTCCCTCTTGCCACATTTGACCAAGGACAACCAACCCCAATGGGTGGCGATGGAGCATATGGCCATCTTACCCTTCCAAGTCCCCAACCTGCTGTGGTTACCAAAAAAGGACAGGCCGGCCACCCCACTCCCACCCGCCCAACTTGCATTGGCACTGCAGGTCTGGGAAACACATAGAGTGCATTTCGAAACAGGATACCCCCTATCAATGGCAACCCCAATCGAAGCCATAACATACTGCATCCCAACGTTCCATGCGACACCATGGAAGGCCATGGGGATCACCCACTTGTCACACATGTGTGAAGCAGGCAAACTCATGAACTTCGCTAAGCTCCGATCCATCTACAACATCCCACAAACATCACAATATTCGCACCTTCAACTCCACTCCCTTTTCACCACACGAACCAAGACAAAACCCCCGGGCCAACTCATGCCGGTGGAACCCTCTACCTGGGAGAAAATAGGCGTATCGGGGAAAATGCCACCCACATTCAAGCCACTCTCGGACTGTTACAAAACTCCACGAAGAGGTTGATTAAATCAGCCCCACTGCTGGAACAACACCGAAAAACGTTATATAGGTGGTACATGGTCCCGACCCGCATACATAAACAATACCCTCACTCGCCTCCATCATGCTGGAGATGCATAGGAGACCACGGAACAGTCATGCACATCTGGTGGAGATGCCCCCGCCTTGTTAGATTTTGGAAAGAGGTACACAAGCTCATTACCGAAGCCACCAACACTGACATACCCTTCGAACCCGCAACCTTCTTGTTGCTAGACCTCCCGAGTACCGTACCTACTGGGGCGAAGAAACTGATATGCCATGTTCTATTAACCGCCCAAAAACTAATAGCCAGACTCTGGAAATCGGACAAACACCCCAACATCCTGCCCCTTATACAAGAAATAGACAAACAACTACTCTATGAAACACACTTCGTTACGACACACCCGTACCCACAACGCTTCCTGAGTACATGGGAATTATGGCGCTCCTGGAGAGCGGACAACCCAGACCAATGAACTCCCATAGAGAATTACTGGCCATAGGGCCACCCCCACTCACTAATCCCCACACCATAAAAGAGGATGCACAAGCCATAACCCCACTATAAACCATCACGAAAAGGGACAACCCAGGATCGGGGAGCTAGGACACTAAAGGGAGCCGGCGACGGCCGAACAAACAGGGTCTTAGGGACAAGTAGGGTTTGACGACCTGGTAACAAAGTACAGGGCACTGCGGAGATTGGCTCATAATGTGTTGGCTCGAATTGACCAGTGTAAATGTGATGTGTTCTGTGACGCATACTGTAAAACACAACTGATTGTATGCAAAAAATGCAATGTGACTACCCCCCCCCCTTTTTTCTCTTTCTGTATCCCCCCTCCCCCCCTAATATTATGTTGAAAAACAATAAAATACAAATCTCAAAAAAAATAAATTCTTGGTTTTATCCAATGCCACATGTAGGCCGCATGCTATAGCCAGTCACTCTGCCTGGTAGGATTGCAATAATACCCCATCAACAGTTCTGGAAGAAATGCCAGATTCTAAGGTCAGGGTCAGTGGGAGTGCTGCTGTGCCAGAATTCTTCATCCCCTTGAGTCCAATTCTCACAGATAATGGAAGTCTCTGGATTACGCTGGGAATGACAGAGCTTGTTCCTCCATAGTATGAGTAAGCGGTAGCGGGTATATTGGCGTATTCGGTGATGCAACACGGGGCTGTTCTGGGGCACCACAATGCTGTCAGCAGGAGTGGAGCTAAGCCCCTTTCCAGAGAGTTTCTCCTAGAACAAATCGCAGATGTGATCGAACACCATAAGAAATTTGTACACAATTGTAGGTGGTTGCAGGGAGTTGGGCTTGGATACAGGCCCAGACAGGGCAGCCGTTTTGGAAATCAGACCATTACTCTCTGGTGCGCTGGTGGGTGTTAAAATTTGGCCAGGTGGATGTACCAGGATACCAGTGGAGGATATCCCCCAATGGTCCAAAGGGGGGGGGAACAGGGCTCAAAGCCAGCAAGCTCCAGGTCAAGGGCAGGGATCGGCCGCCTCCCTGTCCTCAAGTGTAATTGCAAGCCGCAGGTAGGTCTGTCACAGGCTGTGTCCACAAGCTGCGGGCAGCATGGTGTCAGAGGAATAGCAGTTTTCCCCAGGATGGAGACAGGAATTTGGCCAAAGAAAGTGTCGGCTGTTAGGCCCTGTCCCCATAATATTTACATTATGCATATGTTTTGCAGTACACATGAAGGTGCATCTTCGTCCATTTTGGTTCATCCAAATTGTTTATCCCAAATTGATCGCATGGACGATATTTATCTGACACAATATGTCAAATAGATCAAACTCAAGGCATCATCGGCAAATTCCATAATTGGCAAAACCCAATGCCAGGTATTTGTTCTCTCTCATCCTTACTTCATCCCTGCTGGTAAGTATGCACACTGTATACGCACAAGAAATATATGAAAGGTTTGGAGGCACACATAGGCCTCCAGGTTACAATTAGCTACATGTGGCCAAGTTGGCTTTCTGACACTTAGAGGTGAAATGAGTTAAACAATGCAGTCAAGTCTTTAGATAGAATCATGTTTATTATTGCAGAGATTCCACAGATGAGTGCGACTGTGTCATGGACATAGTGTCAGTCCGTGTGTGCTAACCATTATTTAAGACCACAATTCTACTCCAGCTGTCTGTCTGGTCTTGTTCACCGTATCTTTTATAAGCTAAATGTTGTCAGTACTTACTTTGTAATATTGTTTGTTTTCTCTCTACACTAATAGGAGGATTTCAAAGATTGTTTGTGTCTTCATGAACAAAATAATTTGCATTTAAAAGTCATTGTCGCCGTATGGCTGCTGTGTTCTGTCTTCATATTTTTTTCCATATATATGATGTATAATTGGGTGTTGTGAAAGGAGGCGTTGTTTCTATGTAAAGGAGAAGTAAGAGAGGAAGCTAAGGGAGGAAACCTGAGGGGACACATTAACCACGATTAGTAAGCTCACAAATTATAAAGAGAACTAGAGAAACGGAGAAAAGAAATTGGAAGCAAAGGTAGCTTATGGAATGAAGACATAACACAGGAATCAAAAACCAGCATAACGCAGAACTCAAAGTCTTTGACCAGGACAAGTACAAACAAGGTATGTAAAAGGACTATCAAGTCATGAATTATTCCATATCTTTAGAGACAAGCTGAGATAGGATCAAGAAAGGCCAAAAGCAAAAAGGACTCCAGGATGTTCAATAGACCATAAAATGTAGTAATTAAAGACTTAACCAAGAAATAAAGGGGGACTTGGGAAAGGAAGTATAAATAAGAACAGATCACGGGTGTAAGTGAGACTACAGATCAGAGATGAGGATAGTTCAAGAGATTAAAAGGGGGTATCAAATCATAACGAGGAGATGAGTTTTAAAGGAGATGATTGTTTCATGGTGAATTAAGAAAGCCATGAGTAATGGTGTAACTAAGAGGGCAGAGAAAGGGCAAGAGGAAATACAGTACACCGACAGAGACAGGAAGCAGGGAGGTAACTGCGCTTAGGGAGCGGCAAAGCTACTAAGGCCACAGGCATTAGAAAAACCCTAACGAGGAGACACTCAGATTGTATGAGATACATATTAAGCCACAGGCTAAGAGACCAAGAAAGTAGAGACGGTTCCACAGCCAAAACAAGGAACTAAACGGAGGTTATTCATCTTAGTGCGAAGACACTTAACCCAAAGTAATCTTGCTGTCTATGGGGAGTGAGCATTTATAGTGATATAGTGGGGTACAGGGAGGGCGAATCTTATGTTGATATATCTCATTTATCAACTTAAAATGACGTTTACTAGATTTAGATGTGCGTTTTCGCTCCCAGGATCTTTGCTGTAGTATACAAGTTGTACCATATATAATACATTGGCGAAATATAAAATTATTGCAGAACATCTGAAGATGAAGAATAGACCGCAGAAGCTACATCTTCGTTCATTCGGAATGATATTTCCTATTATAGACATTTTTCTGTCCTTTATAATAGTCGGTCTATTCACAAAAAATGGCTACATTTATATCACGTTGGCTTATCTGGAGAATATCTGCCATGTGCTTATGGTTCATGTTGAGACATTATCTTATATAGTATGAATGACTGGTTATTTTCATGGCACAATTTTTAAACATCTCAACCTCAACCTCAACCGAACCTAGCTAACAGTATCCATCCATAAAGCCAAGGCCTAGGTCAACAACTAGAACTAATATAAATGGTGCTGTATTAACACCAGCTTTCCAGACATAGAGGGATATTTTCTTGTATAGAGAAATACTTTCAAAAGAAAGGATGGACTGTCTCCTATCTCTATTGAATGAGCATACAGGTTTTTTTTTCCACAAAAAAAATCTGGAACAGTTATTTACTTTAACCCCTTTAAGACATGTTTTGTTTTGCCAATATTGCCAATATTCTAAAATCTTAAAGGAACACTCCAAGAATCATAACTACTGCAGCCCTCTGTAGAGGGTAGGGTGCCAGGATTGCCATGTACATAATCAGAATAAGTAATCAAACTGTTTAACCCCTTAAGGACACGACATGTGTGACATGTCATGATTGCCTTTTATTCCAGAAGTTTGGTCCTTAAGGGGTTAAGAACAGTTTGCCGACCTACCTAGATCCATCAGATGCCTGTAATCATCCCCTCTCTGCAGTCAGAAGCTCTTGCACGGAGCTAAGCCTGGCCATGGAATGTTCCAGGGTAACATGTGCCCTGCGATCCCTAGGAAAATGTAAAACCATTCTTAAACAGTTTGAATACTCACTCTGGGAGAGTACAGGGGCTCTGCTGACACCATAATCACTACAGTAGTATGAAGTGGTTATGGTACTTGTAGTGTCCCTTTTCAGTCCTCCAGATGTTGTGGACAAAATCACTCCTGGAGCTCTGCCAGCATTATGGCTGTAAGCATTAAGGGAGGTGTAGTCCACAACATCTGGAGTACCACAGGTTGTCTACCGCTGCTTTAAACAATACTGTTTTCACAATTGTAGCACCTCAAATTTACCCAAGTTCTCTTTTTGCCACTGTAACCCTTTTTAGGCTTGGGTTTAATATCCAGTATTAGACGCAGCAAAGATATGATGAAGTTATAGCCACATCAACAAAGACTTTGTTGTCATTAAATAACTAAAAAGCCTGTAATGTATGCTCTGTGGGTTATTCAATAAAAAGTGAGATAGTAGGTTAGCTGTGGGGTTATAGTCAATATAACACATTGTGGTTAAACATTGTACAGTGCTGTTGCATTTGTTGGCGCTATATCAATAATTATAATAATAAACACTACAGATACTGTACACAGAGCAGATAAGGTACAGAGGTTAAGGGTCAGCTACTTTCTGTTCTACGCCACATTGAGTAGTAGATAAAAACGTAATTTTTGCTTTTAACAACTATCCATATGAGTATCTGCGTGTGTGTGATTGAAGACAGGGTCTTTTTGAAGTTTTTCTGTGCATGTAAGCACATACCTTTCAAATGCTATAAGTTTACATATTTTCAATCAAAATTAAAGGGACATTTTTCCAATCACATTAAAGGAACGTTCTAGGCAGTATAACCATTTCATCTCATTCTGAGCAGAATAACCATTTCATCTCATTCTAGGCAGTGTAACCATTTCATCTCATTGTAGTTATAGTGCCTTGTGTCCCTTGGGGCTGTACCTCCATTCATTTTGTAACAGTTTAATTCTGAATGGGGGTCCCTGGCCACCCACAGCCTGGTCACCACTGGAGGTATAGCTAAGGCAGAGATTACACTCTTCGTTAGACATAACTTTAGCAAAGAGTGTCTGGCGGGTTGGGAGTGGTCGACTGACAATCTCAGCCAACCACTGCCATCCATTGCTGCTTGGGCTAATGCTCTCTCATTAGCTCAAGTAGCACACAGGTAATGGGCTGCTGGAGCCTCTTGATTAGCATAAAAAAAAAATAGTTTAGTACAGAACAAAGGACAGGGGGTCTCCAGATACTATAACCACTTCAATGTGATGAAGCAGTTACACTGCCTAGAGTGTTTATTTAACTTACTGCAAGTCATTATTTAGTAAATAAATCCCAGGGCGGTCGGCCATTGATAGCTAACCAAAAGGTAATAACCATCCTATCACCCAAACAGTGGCTGTAATAACTTCACTAATACCCCATACACCTTCATGACTGGGAGATCTGTAAACACCCAATCCTCTACAAACTTACCTGTCAAAACACATCCTGTTTCCTACTTCCATACAGCCTGTGTCTCGTTTATAAACACCGCAGTTTAGTAATAGGTAAACCAAGCTATTATTACTTCTCTCTTTCTATATTACCAAATATCTAGCGAACGTTCCTTCAGCAACCATCATGTCACGTCATCATCCTACACACCACCTATGGAGCTGTCACTATCACCACCTGCATTCCAACAAGCAAGTCACCGTGAAAAGCAGAACGTCACTGCAGCACACACGTTATTACTAGAACCTGCTCTAGAACCCACAAGAGAACCCATGCCACGCTAACATCCTTACCCCATCTGCCCACATGTCCCCTCTATAGACTCTACACTATTCCTACAGATTACATGTTACTTCCAGAGCCAGCAAGACATTGCAACAGACTATACTTCCCTGTATAGCCTGTTTGACACTCTAGCAGTCTATTTTACAGTCTGCATGTCACTTCAGCCACCTCCATGACACTTCTAGAGCCTGCATGCCACGTTACTACAGCAGCTGACATCACTTGTCGAGCTTCCATTTCTTTCTGACTGTTTGCATTCCATTGCAGTAGCCTACATGCCACATCTAGAGCCTTCTTGTCACTTCAGAACTCTACATGTCTTTTCTAGAATATATATTATATTCCAGCACTTGGTATGTATAAATCCCCAAATATTATATTGAATTACTGCTGTCTAAGCTGTACTCCAATAATTTCGCTTGTAGAGACTACGTCACTACAACTGATTAAATGTCACCTCGAAATCCTGTGTTTTAATTCATTCAGTCTATATAGCACTTTCTATATCCTCTCTTCTTTATTACAGTCTATGTGTTTGTTCTGTGTTCACATTACTTTCCAAAAAATAAGGCATTATCCGGTATAATCTTTCCCATTATAATATTTAGAATGATCTTTTACTCATATAGATTTGTAGTTTTGTGTTGCTGAATTGTATGTATTCTCTCTAGTACGTATAAGTAAAAAAATATATGTTAGTCTGTAGAGGGAGGGGAAGAGCGAATAGATCACAGACATTTCCTGTTCCTGTAGATATGTCATCTTATTTATCAACAGTATACACATTGATATATATATACATTGTCATCTAGAAGGGAGGTCTGATGGTGTCATTCATACTATGATTGATTGGTAGACTCCGTGGGCAATACATTATTTTTTATAGTAAATTATTTTGAGAAGTACTGTTCACATCGTTGATATGGCGAGCCACTGATGATATTGAACATTCAGATTCTGAACAATTTGGAGTTATATTTTTGTGAAGATACGTTACAAACAGACTGTTAAAATATCTATTGTTTCACCCAAAGAAATATATGGGTATGGATGAAACACCACACTACCAAAGCTTTAATTGTGTGGTGAAACATCCACAATCTGGGACTCAATGTCCCAATTTTTTATTTCTGTGGACATCAACGAATGTTACCAAAAAGAGCTACAGCACAAGCCCATTACCATTTACTTTAGCCCATGTGAGTGCAGTGCTCATGTGAAGATTGGTTAGCTGGCAGGCAACCAGCGCATCACCCCAGAAAATATGCACCATGACATTTTATGCCACTTTCTCCACCATTCCAACAGCCATTATCTTCCTCCTTTTAGCTATGTGACCTCCCATAACACTTTAATTCATCCTATTGATGGGAAATATACACATATCTCACTCAAAGTGCTACTCTTGGCTCAGTGAGAAATTAGAAAAACATAACCCAGGAAATCAGGAGTATATTTTTCAGCTTATCCAGGCCAACCTAAATTTATCTTCCTAACAGAAAAAATAAATAAAAAATTCTAAGCCTTAAAGGGACACTAAGGTCACCCGGATGCCTTCATCTCGATGAAGTAGTGTGGGTGCAGTGGCGCAGAGGTAGTCTATGCACTTGAAGAAGGTACATGTCCTCTTCCTCACAAATTTGAAAAAAAGAAGATGGATGGATGTATCATGGCACCTGCACTTTATAACAATTTTCTTAAACCTGTGTAGATTCAGTAATATGCATTTTGTTAGTGAAGGTATCAGTCATTTTGCTTTCTTCTAATTCTTCCCCCAGTTCCATTTAGAGTTGTATGGGATGGGATAATGGAATAAAATGGGCATACAATAGGGAGAGCAGTCTCAATTTTTTATGTGCTAATCTGTAATTTAATTCATAAACAGTGGTCTCCCCTTCTAGATAAGTTCTCAAGAAGGATGACAGAAAGTGGAGAAGTTGATGTGCCCAAAACAATTTGGAGCAGCCTAACCATTTAATGAATTAGTAATATGAACTGATAAATAGGCTAACGCTGTTTTCCATCCCCTACCAGGTTGGTGTAGACTCCTAAAGATGGCTGGAATCAAGACATCCAGCGGAGATTACATAGATAACTCCTGGGAGTTGAGGATCTTCGTGGAGGAGATGGGAGAAGAAGCGGAACCGGTGGTACTTAGGGTGACGGGTGAACTTCACATTGGGGGAGTCATGTTAAAGGTGGTGGAGAAAATCGGTGAGTGGTGAAAACAAACTCCACCACTGCCATTACACTGCAGAGAACATACTATGACACTTGGCTGAATAACTCTGTTCAGGAACTTCAGAACGCACTAAACCATCATCAGTATAATCAGCTTTTTCCAGGCCTAACTGTGGTCAGCAACTTCCTCCTATCCCTGTAGCTGCTGGGACCAAAATAACCACAGGGAGATGAAAAGAGGAAGATATTTTGGTGTCTATGCAAAGAGAAACTGTGTATGGGAGGACAATGAGAGTGCAGAGCTGGGAGAGAACACAGTGACTGTCACTGAGAGTGCAGAGCTGGGAGAGAACACAGTGACTGTCACTGAGAGTGCGGAGCTAGGAGAGAACACATTGACTGTCACTGAGAGTGGAGAGCTATCAGAGAACACAGTGACTGTCACTGAGAGTGCAGAGTTAGGAGAGAGTACAGTGACTGTCACTGAGAGTGCAGAGTTAGGAGTTAACACAGTGGCTGTCACTGAGAGTGCAGAGCTGGGAGAGAGTACAGTGACTGTCACTGAGAGTGCAGAGCTAGGAGTTAACACAATGACTGACTGAGAGAGAATACAGTAGTACGAATGGACACAGTGAATGTCACTGAGAGTACAGAGCTAGGACAGAGTGACCATCACTGTCACTGAGAGTACAGAACTAGGACACAGTGTCCCTCACTGTCACTGAGAGTACAGAACTATGACATAGTGACCATCGCTGAGAGTACAGAACTCAGACAGAGTGACCATTGCTGTGAATGCAGAACTAGGACAGAGTGATCATCACTGTCACTGAGAGTACAGAACTAGGACACAGTGACCATCACTGAGAGTACAGAACTTGGACACAATGACCATCACTGAGAGTACAGAACTAGGACACAGTTTCCATTGCTGAGAGTACAGAACTAGGACAGAGTGACCATCGCTGAGAGTACAGAACTAGGACAGAGTGACCATCACTGTCACTGAGAGTACAGAACTAGGACAGAGTGATCATCACTGTCACTGAGAGTACAGAACTAGGAAAGAGTGACCATCGCTGAGAGTACAGAACCAGGACAGAGTGATCGTCACTGTTACTGAGAGTACAAAACAAGGACACAGTGACACTGAGAGTACAGAACTAGGACAGAGTGATCATCACTGTTACTGAGAATACAGAACTTGGACACAATGACCATCACTGAGAGTACAGAACTAGGACACAGTGACCATTGCTGAGAGTACAGAACCAGGACACAGTAACCATCGCTGAGAGTACAGAACTTGGACACATAGTGACTATTATTGAGCATACAGAGCTTGGACACATAGTGACTATTATTGAGCGTACAGAGCTTGGACACATAGTGACTATTATTGAGCGTACAGAGCTTGGACACATAGTGACTATTATTGAGCGTACAGAACTTGGACACATAGTGACCAAGCCCTGGTCTGCCCCTTCCACACCCCCTCTGTGCATAGTTAATGTTGGTGGCAAATTTCAATTTAGTTTTAGTCATAGTCTTTTGACTAAAAAGCCATTTTAGTTTTAGTCGTATTTTAGTCATCTGAATCGTTTTAGTTTTAGTCAACTAAATCTCGAAAAATTTAGTCGACTAAAATCTGCCTAAAATTGTTAGTTAACATTGATCTACAATATTTGTCAATCATCTTCCTGCAGGGAGGGCACACAACTGGTCTGATCACGCTTTGTGGTGGGAACAAAAGCGCCAATGGCTACTTAAGACCAATTGGGCTCTGGACAAATATGGGGTTCTTGCAGATGCCATTCTCCATTTCACCCCCCAACACAAGCCTGTTATCCTATCTCTACCCAACCAGCGCTCCCTGAGGATACGGGTCTCCTTCTCCAGCACCACATTCAGTGCATGCGCAGAGGTCTGCAAAGTGTTAGGTAAGTACACAGAGCCCTATATTTTAAAAAGCTTCACGGCATCAAATAATCTTTATGCTTGTAATATATCCTATCAGGTGACCTACTTATTCTCAGGAAACTCTCATGTTACCTGTTTCTCCAGGTATCAGAAACCCAGAAGAACTTTCGTTTCTCAGGGCACCTGAGGAACGAGGGAAAAAGAAGAAAAAGGATAAAGATACTGTGACTCAGGAGATATTTGATCTAACCTACCTGCAGCCAATCACTGGTAATGCATACCTTTCCCCTTTGAGAAGGATCTAAACGATATATATATATATACTGCTAATCATTCTGTATTGTATAGGAACCAAATGACTCATTAAAATGTAATAAGAAATTTACAAGGGCTTTGGCAGGATGGGGGGCATAGTAAGAGGTACAAATCAATCAGTAACCTCCCATCTGCCCATTAAGTATTTGTTTCTTTACTAAAAACATTCTTAAGGTAATAGAAAGAACAATTTAGCAAGCTTCCCTGTTAACCCCTTAAAGGACCACTATAGTGCCAGGAAAACATACTCGTTTTCCTGGCACTATAGTGCCCTGAGGGTGCCCCGCCCCCCTCAGGGTCCCCCTCCCGCCCGGCTCTGGAAAGGGGAAAGGGGTTAAACTTACCTTTTTCCAGCGCTGGGCGGAGAGCTCTCCTCCTCCGATCCTCCTCTTCTCCTCCCCGTCGGCTGAATGCACACGCGCGGCAAGAGCGCCTCTAGCGACTGTCAATGAGACAGCCGCTAGAGGAAATAGGGGAAAGCTTAACCCATTCATAAACATAGCAGTTTCTCTGAAACTGCTATGTTTATGAAAAAATGTTTATGAAAAAATGGGTTAACCCTAGCTGGACCTGGCACCCAGACCACTTCATTAAGCTGAAGTGGTCTGGGTGACTAGAGTGGTCCTTTAAGGACACATGACATGTGTGACATGTCACGATTCCCTTTTATTCCAGAAGTTTGGTCCTCAAGGGGTTAAACATGGGTCCAGGACCAGGAAGGGACTCCAAGTAAGTGTTACACTTGATGTTTATGGCTGATGGGAAAAGATGGGCTATTCAGTAAGTCATTCCAATCGGTAAGGATAATGTAAAAAGAGCCACTAAGCAGGTATGCCTTCTTTTTTATATTGCTCCATTCTATACAGCCCAAAATATACAGACGTGAGTGAGTGAGTGAGTGGGGTGGGTAGTTAAGGCAATGCAATCATTCCTTTTGTGTATTCCTATAGCTATAGGGCCCTGTTTACCAGTTAGACCCCTGGCCCCCGTCTGTAGGAAGTAAAAAAAAAAAATTTTACTTACCTTTTCTCCCTCGTTGACCTGGGAAAGCATGCCTTAAGAAAGCATTGGGTGGCTAGTGCGCATGCATGGCAAATGGCCAAACCAATCAGATGTTCTCTGTAAGACCATCTGGTTGAAATAATGGACTTTAAAGGAACATTATAGTAAAAAAAAACATTTAGGTGGCTGGCCCCCCTTTCCCCTCTTAAAAGATAATAAAACTCTCCTTATTTCTAGCAGCACTATCCCATAGGGAAAACATTGGGTTGGCTGAGATTGGCAAGAAGGTGGGGCAGGGGTAAAGCCAAACACTGGCATGGCCTATTAGCACCTCTTCACAGAGATGCATTGAACCATGCAGAGCGTGGACGCTGAATGGCAGTAGGAAGCACCTCTAGCAGCCATCTGAGGAGTGGTCACTGGAGGTGCCCCTAGTAAGCAATGTAAACACTGCCTTTTCTATGAATTTTACATGGATTTCTATGAAAAGGCAGTGTTTTCATGCAAGGAATGATTATACTCACCAAATCAATAAAATTAAGATGTTCTGGTGGCTATATTGTCTCTATTACTCCCTATGCACTTCATTGAGATGATATGAACACTTCCACCTGTCCTAAATATTAATAATAATGAATTAATTAATAACTAAGAAATATAGTGCTCTCCCCCAGAGCAGGCCCCTTACGTGACAGCACTAGCAGCTCCTATTTCACTCCATGGGTGTCCTGGTAGCTTAATGAGAGATGACTCTCTCAATATGGTACAGACCTCTCTTGCATGTTCATGTACATGACCAGCTGTACAATTTTACTGATGTCAAATCCCAGTTAATACAAAGTGGGCACTGAGAAGGAACAATCCCGTTAATTCCCTGCTAGCCCAGCTAGGGTAGTGAAGTTTGAGGTTTGTGAGTACCCACCCTGCCAGCCTTCCCTGTTGTTGCATTATAAATGTCACTTTGTGTATATTGGCATATGATCTATTTAGTATTCCATAAGTGAAGCATAATAGCATGTCATCCCTCCAACAGCCATCCTACCTCTCCAGTCACTGCTTATAACCTCCATGCCATCCTGTAACTCTCTATTGTTTAACAAACAGACTCAGCTACCCAGATGATACAAGGAGGCGTTCCATCTCATTTTACAAGTCCGGAGGCGCAGGAGAGTTACCGAGCTCTGTCTGTCAGTCAGACGGGAATCACCCCTGAAGATATACAGAAACGATATAAGCCTATCACAGTGACCGATAAGACATTAGTACATGGCAGGTGAGGACCATTGTCATCTATTACCTCTCTGTGTCCCCGTCTATCTATGGGGATCTTTTCCTCCTCACCTCACACCTCACCTCATATTTGACCAACATTCACAGAAAAACAAAAAATTAATTCTGCAAGTCTCTTGTAAAACCTGTTGTTTTAAGCATAATTAATTGAATACAATTTGTTTGGTATTTGAAGAGTATGTTGGTCCATATTAAAACATGGTGTGTGGACTACTATGTCTCTGTATATTTCCTACGCCTGACACTTCTAGACACTAGGTAGAGCTAATGCCATCTAGAAGTGTCATTCCCCCCCCTACTCCCCACCCCCCCAAGCCATCACCAGTGACAGCTGCAGGAGATTGGCTCTTTCTCTAGACGATGGGATCCTCCATAGACCTCAATGCTGTACATTTGCGAATGTGCGACAGTACAGCAGTGACGTTGGGTCCTGCAGCACCAGGAGTTGAAGAGGACCCGTCAGAAAAAGATGGCGGCAACCGGTGAGGGTCAGGTTAAGGTAATTAAATCTCACCTTTACCTGCCCCCCACGGGCACCGGAGCTTCAGCTATGATGTCACCGTCAGGGTCTTTGTGAATTCTGCAGAGTCCCCAGACGGTGACAGTGCCATTTTAAGGAGTCTATAAACTCCAAATTAACTTTCTCAGGGGAGTATATATTTCATAATATTTTTTCCGAATAATTTGCCAAATTATGGTATAATAATCAAACTACAAATGTTAGGCATTAAACTTTGTAGGTTTTTGTGGTAGGTAAGATCCTGCAGAGGACTCAGAAATTCCTACCTAGCTATGATATTTCCTATTTTGGCCTAGATTATACAAATAGATTGTGATGTCTCCAAAGTGCATTGTCCACTGAGATGATCCACTGCTGTCTTTTTCCCCCCCTAACCTCCATATTCATACTATATGGGGTCTCTTTCTTCCCTCTTAAATGTAGAACTGTCACTTAGTTTGTTTTATTGTTTAGTATATTAACTTCCAGTGGGATAATTGTTTGTGAGATATGAGAAATTTGTATTGGCTTTCGGTCCATCAGAGCTAAAATCTCTGCACATTTCTGTCATTGAACTTAATATGTGGAAGGGGGTGAAACTGAACCAATGTTTCTGTTTTTCGGTGTGCCTTAGCTGTGCCAGGACTGAACTGAATTGCAATTTCAACTACAACACTACCATAATGTTCAATGAAAACTAAACATCCCATGAAAAAAATGTTCCTGCTTTTTTTTTTCTTTTCAAAAAGTTTTATTCAGCGGTGTGAGTTTCCATCGAAGAGAGGGTTATATTTTAAATGCTCCCCATCCTCAATTAATCTGCTCACTCAATCGAGCCATGAAGAACCCTTTCATTTTTGTTACCCACATTACCCCCACACTGTATTCACTCAATACAATCTTGTCTCCTGGTAGGTGGTTAAACTCTTCCAAATGTTTGCTGCAACAGGGCATTCAGGAGGGAGACAGACTTTGGCTGCAGTTCAAGTATTACACTTTTTATGATGTGGATCCAAAGGTGAGAGAATAACACAATTAAACGAATGGATCTATTTTTAACACTTTGATTGCTCCTATTGTTCACATTTTGGTTTTCTATCTATATATCGCGTACAAAAATGTAACATTAGAATACTGATTTTATACAAAAACATAAAGAAACTTTATGTGTAAACTGGATAACTATAAGACAAAATGAGAAAGTGAAACAGAAAAAAAAATAATTTTCACAATTTTTTCCCACTAGTTTGATACTGTGCGCATTAATCTGCTGTTTGAACAAGCACGCTGGGCAGTGCTACTGGAAGAGACAGAGTGTACAGAGGAAGAAATGATGAGATTTGCAGCTCTGCAGGTACCAAAAAAGAAGATTTATTATTTCTAAATGAATGCTTACCAACCGTCCCGATTTTTACAGCACAGTCCTGATTTTCTAATTCGGCCCCCCAGTCCTGACTTAGTTTCCCCGTGTCAGCTTTTGGGGACATTAGGGAATTGTCCCCAGCAAACATAGTGCAACATTAGAAGCACTCGTGCTATGTCCAGGGCACTAGGACTCTGCAGGGAGCACTGAAACAGGGTTCCTTGCAGGGTCTGGCCTTTATGAGATGGCAAGTGGGATCGACAGACAGCTCTGTATGTATTCACGTCAGGTTGACCTGTCAGTTAATTGACCTAATGTATCCCCCCTTCCCAGGTGGTCACGCACCCTTTGGGCAGAGCCAGTGGCACGATCGTGTTATTGGCCCGCCTCCTTTATCACCCTCCCATCAGAGCCCCAATTGTTTGGAAGCTTGAGAAGGGAGATATGTAAATATATTAGTGGCATACAATTGGCTGATTATGTTATTTACTGGCAGCGTTATTAAATTAAAGCAAATTAAATTAATAGCATAACACTCCTCTAAAGCGACATTGTAAGGATCAAAACAACTTTAGTTTAATCAGGCAGCTTTGATGTATAGACCATGCCTCTGAAGTCTCACTGCTCAATTCTCTGCCATTATGGAGTTAAGTCACTTTGTTTATACAATCCTAGCCACACCTTCCTGCATGTGAAATACACAGTCTTCCTACATATTTCCTGTAAAGAGAGAACTAATGTTTAAACTTTTTTGCACAGCCTGTTTAATTTAGAATTTCTTATCTCATGCTCTCTTAGTAGCCTCCAAGAGCCTCCTGTGTGTGATTAAAGTTCAATTAACAGAGTAAACACAATGTGCAATCAGAGCTGAGTGAAAGAACAACAATTTTTTTCACATTGTCTGTGTACATAACTGCTAGGGGAGGTGTGGCTAAGGCTGGATCAACAGGAACAAAAGTGATCTAACTCCTAAATGGCAGAGAACCGAGCAGTGAGACTGCACTTAAACGGCTTCATTAGGCTAAAGTTGTTTTGGTGCTTAGATAATCCCTTAAAAGGCACAATGAATTTAAAACAGTATAATACAAATGTTAGTGCACATTGAATAACTATCAGAATCTGTGAATGAGCTGTAATTTTTTTAGTAGAGAAACAGGCAAACTCACATGACTATTTAACAGGTCAATAAAAAAAAAAAATATTAATTTAATAGACAAAACAAAAAGTGTACTTTTGCAAAACTAAATTGTACACTCAGAGAAACTTCAACAACATGCCCTTCGGTTAGTCCCTACTCACTTGTGCCATTACAGAGAGAACCTATAATATTTGCCTATTACAATGATCCATTCCTACTTATAAGGGCTGTCCAGAACTGAAATGCCCACCTGACCCACCTTGAATTGACAGAGAGATCAATACACCTCCCTGTACTGCCTTGAGCCTCCTCACAGCATTGTGGTCTGTACCAAAATCAGGTACAAACCACTTTAAGAGTACCCTTGTGGTCCACCAGTACTTCTTGATGACTTGGAACGCTACAGCTGGTGCTCTGAGTCATTTACTGAGCACTGTAGGCAGGAGGGTGCTCTTAAAGTGTTCTGTACTTCATACTGGTCGATGGAGCTCCCCTACCGAACCACCAGAGATCTGGCTCATCGACCACAGGGCCACTAGGGATCCTGTTCACACTCAACTGGGAAGGTAAGCAGAAAGGAATGGGGGGCATACACAAACACACAATTCAGCCACACTCAGACACCCCTACATACACAGACACAAAATTCAGCCACCACAAACACAACATACTCAACCAGAATACACAGACAAACCCAGCCTCTGTGCTCTCACCCTCCTCTACACACCACACTCAGCCACTACACACAGTCTCACACACAACACTCGGTAAAACACACCACTCATATAAACAGAGCTCAGGTCTCTAGGAGGGGGCTCCAATCTGTCATGGACAACCTTTAATCAGTTCTGACCGAATGGCAAGCTAATGGCTTTCTCTGAGCTGTTGCCTTTTCTCAGACTTCTCATATAATCTGTTTTTACTAAATCGTACTGCTCTTTGTGTTAGAGAACCCTGGCACACCAGATGCTGTTGGGAATCATCCTCCTGCAGTCATTCTTATGAAGGTAGTGGGTTATGGGAGTTGCAGTCAATTTATTGTGCAAGTAAAATCAGATTTTTTTCTGGAAATTCTGCACTAGTCTTTTCATAGTCAAATGTGGCACCCAGACTGCTTTGGACCACAAATCCCATGATCATCTGCAAGCCTGTTGGCTGGCTGAGTGTCATAATAATCATTGCTCATATAAATTATAGAGCTGGAGACTGCTCATTCTATCACGTATGGCTTTCTGGGTGATTGTTTCAAAATATGGACCAATGTCTTAGACTCTGAATATTATATGCATGTCTAACTTTCCAATAATGGTTGGTTTATATTGAGAAATATTCTATTTCCTGTATAGTACCATGTAAACAAGTTATCAGTAACCTGTGATCCCATGAGTCTGCCCCAAGACCCTGCTCTACAGGACTTGGATGAGGCTCTTTCACATCTGGAGGTGAAATTAGAGGCATCGACACCAAGTGAAGCCCTGGTAAGTGGAACATACTGTTACGTCTGTTATGTATTTGGCAGGAGGAGCCCAGGATGCAGGAATGAGCCAAGGCTAGGTACAAAAGGTATAGACAAAGTCATAGTCGGGGAAAGCCAAGAGTCAGGACAGGCAGCATGGGTTCAGAGATGCTTAAACAATCAGAGGGTCAGATCCCAGATAAGTCAAACAAGGCAGGATAGGCAAACTGATGTTAACACCACAGTAAGCACCATATAACTGAGCACTGGAAACATGTTGGGATGGGATTTTATAGGAGAGAGGTATACTTCTCTCATATTTCATTGGTTAATTGGTTACACTGGTAGTAACCAAAGAAAAAAGTTACCTGCGCTCTCTCCTGAATCCCTATGTACATTTAAACAAATGGATGTCATTTAGTTACTCCAATGGCCATTGGAAAGAATGCCCGCCTGCCAACATCAAGGCAGACCCTCCCTTGGTGGGTCCTACACTGACCTTTCACCTTGCTTCCTTGAGCTTCTGGCAAAGACATCTCTAATAAGACAGAAAGGGGTATTTTTATATATAGTAACAAATATTCTCGCAATGCCCCAACAGCAGTGGCAAGACATGTAGATGTACAAAGCGTAACAAGTATAAGGCATTTGAGTGTATTGCACAATTTTTAAAAAGTGGTATAAGATACAAACTTGGCCTAACATGTCTACTGGGGATATTGAGAGTCATCTTCTATTTTATGCAAGCAAATCCATAGACATGTAGCTCTAAGTAATAAAGTAGTGTAACCGAGTAAACTTGCAGAAGCCAGACACAGAGAGATGGATGCAGGTTTTCAGGAAGTAAGAGGTCTTTATTAACATATCAATCGGGTCTCAGATGAACTAACGTTCCAAAACAGGTCTGAGGGCCGAACACATGGAGTACATGCTTTTTATAGAACTATAACTCCTCCCATTAATAGGTCCACCCGCACATACCCTTAACCAACCGGTGGACAGGATTTGGATTTCCTTATATGGGCAGACCACATGGCTCATCCGAAACAAAGGAGAAAGGAATGTGATTTCAGTTCCTGCATTCCTGCACATGCTCAGTACATTAATGACAGTATCTTAGCTACGTGTAACTAACTAACTGATACAACATACACATATGCCACGTGGAAATCTCGGCCTACTAAATTTACATTTCACTGAAATTCCATCACAGTAGGTTATGAAATATGCTTTTGGTATTGAGAACGAGTAGGGGAGAAGTTACTGTGCCTGTTTAATTGTGGTGAACCATGCTTCATTACGATTAAGTCCTGGACTCTATGGCCTCTAGGTGTTTAAGTTTGCAATATATGGTGACAATAGACTCTGAGGGGAGGGTTGATCTAGTATTCCCCTCCAATAAGTGATAGGTTGACTTTGTGGGAGACCCTGGTCACCAAGGGCTTATAGAGTGGGGTGTAAAGGTACTTAGTTCTGCTGGTGGAACACTTCTCTATGGGTTTAGTAATAGGCATAGGAAGGTCAACCCATTTTGCCATTTAAGAAAGGCCATTTAGTTCTAGGGATTGTTGAGCATGGTGTCATCCGCTAATAAGCTGCAAGCAGCATGCTATTCTAGCCTGACATGCATTTAAACATACTGATTAGATGGAAGGCCTAGCAATAACAGAGAATAAAAATAGTAATACGAACTAAAACTCAGTGAATAATACATTAAGGCTGACTCCTGTGCTTAGTCTAGGTGGGGGTGTATGTGTGTGTCTTTGCTAGCTGTAGCCTGAGTTCCGTGTGGGTCTACTAGTGAGGTGAGCCCTCCTTGCCATGATACGGGCCTATGGTGATTTGCCTCCAGGTGCAGTAGCAGCTGTTACTGGGGTAGGGGGTTAGGGTTTACATAGGCCAGATTTACAGGTCTCATGCGCGTAGGTGTGGGGAGCTCTCCTAGTTGAGAGAGGTCTGAAACAGCACAGGGTGTAAATCATATTGGTGTGGGCTACTCATGAAGCCTTGGTGGTGCTACTCAGCGAGGGGAGATAGGTAGCGTGCCAGATCTGGGGCTGGCTGACATGTCTGTATGTATGCCTGGTCTCGGTTGCAGTTTTGGGAGGGTTGTAGTCGTTCCATGCGCTCGTGTCGTTGTGCGGGGTCCCATCTAGAGATGGTGAGGATTTGTGGGGTGATACTATGGTGTCGGGTTAGGTCGCCAGATGGGTTTAGTGGTGATGTTGGGTATGTAGTGGTGGGAGCAAAAACTTCTAAGTAACAGTGAACTGTGTGATATAATTTGTGCTGTGAGGCACAACAGAAAAAGAGCATATGATGCATCAGTGATGCCATACAACGACAGTCCCGCTGGCTCAGCCACCCGGCCCCTTAGAGGACATGTCGGGAGCTCCTCTCTGTACAAACGGTGTGGTGTTGTCTACATCCCATTGGTGTTTCTGTGGTCCGACCCGTTGTTGGTCCTCGGAGTGGGACAGTCCCATGGTGAGCAAGAAGTGTTGGCCCTTTGCCAGGGAGTTAAGCTTGTGTACAGTTCCCTCTATGGTGACATGTAAGGAACGTGTTGTGCTCCAGCGGTAAGGAACTTTGTTGCCCCGTAGCACTCCTGTGACCGGTCGCATGGATTGTCTCCAAAGCATCGTAGGTCTGGACAGGTCATTATAAAATTCTAAGGTATGTTGTTCAAATTTCAGTGTGGGTGAGTTCCTCACTGCTGCCATGACTGCCGCCCTGTCCAGGTACGTGACGAATTGTACTATGACATCGCCGGGGGTCCGCTGTGTTGGTTGGCTTTGTGTACAGATCCTGTAGATGTTATCCACGAGGATGGCTTTTGCCTGTTTATGGGGGAGTAAGTGCTGGATCAGGCATCGCAGGAACTGTGGCAGTTCTGTGTGGTCTACCATGTTGCTGATACCTCTACTTTTAATGTTTTTCCGGTGGCTCCGATCTTCTGCCTCTGCGAGCCTCTGTGTCATGCTGGCTTGTGACTGCTTGAGTTGCTCATGTTCCACCACCAGCAAGGTCTGTTCAGCTTTGAGGTGAGAGGAGTCAGTCTCCATCTTCTTGACTCTGCCTGTAATTGTAAGCATATTTTCCTGCACTATGGACAGCTCGGCCTGGAACATGAAATGGATGTCTCGTAGTAGTGTTTTTATGTCGCCTTTTGTGGCGGGGGTGTTGTCGTCCTCGTCCTCGTGTAGGCCACCCTCACTGGAAATCTCATCCAGGGTATCCATGGATGGTTATTCCTCGGATGATGAATCCTCCGCTTGTGGTTCTGCCATCTTAGGCACTGCACGCGGTAGGCCTCCGCGCATAAAGTCGCTTATATCTCGGGATCCAGAACCCATATGTGCTTTACTCTTCTTAGTTCGTTTCCTCATTGTGGTAACGTGGCTAGGGGGTGTTTGTTATCGGTGTTTTACCCGGTTTGCATGGTAATCTGAGCTTGGTAACGCGGAGCTGAAACGCTGTATGTCTGCTCGGTTTGCTGGTCGGCTCTGGCCCCCTACACCCTTATATACTGCTAGTGTACACCATGGTTCTCTATCATAGAAACATAGAAACATAGAATGTGACGGCAGATAAGAACCATTCGGCCCATCTAGTCTGCCCAATTTTCTAAAAACTTTCATTAGTCCCTAGCCTTATCTTATAGTTAGGATAGCCTTATGCCTATCCCATGCATGCTTAAACTCCTTTACTGTGTTAACCTCTACCACTTCAGCTGGAAGGCTAGTGTACACTATGGTTCCCTATCACTGCTAGTGTACACCATGGCTCTCTATCACCGCTGGTATACACCATGGCTCTCGATCACCGCTATTGTACACCATGTTTCTCTATCATTGCTAGTGTACACAATGGTTCTCTATCACTGCTAGTGTACACCATGGTTCTCTACCACTGCTAGTGTACACTGTAGCGGATGGCATTGGACTGTCCTCAAGGGTTATGTTAAAAGTACAATTCGTGTCTTTATTCTCATGTATAACTAAAATTGTATGTAGCATTCGTATGTTTGTTCGTTAGTTTTCATCCGTATTCCATACGAATGAAAACTACCGAACCAGTAGACCACCCCAGAGAGAAGTGTGTACCTTATTAGGCTTTCACACTTCTCTAACCGCAAGTTAAATGGTGCAATCGGTACTTTATAGATGTATCTGGGTGGCCGCCGTTCGGCATACGAACACATGGCGGTGGCCATCTTACGCACGAAACCTCAGCGGTGTTTGGTCGTCGAGTGTCTGGAACTCAAATCGGACACTCAATTACCCGAACACCGCTGAGACCTCCAGTGCTCCGTAACTCCCGAGCTCCGTAACCCTGAGACCTCCAGAGCTCCGTAACTCCAGAGCTCCGTAACCCTCGTTCGGTGAATTAAAAGTACCGAACAAGGGTATTCAGACAAATACCGATTTAATAGTGGATGGCAAGGATTTATATGTATTTTATCTCCCGAACGGAGACCGACCGCAGGGCCAAAACACATGGAACCCTTTTCGGCTACCACCTCATGTGCGGTCGGTCAAATTGTCTTTTCCATCTAACTCCCGAACCCCTGGTCCGATCTAGGTGAATTTTGAATATGTTGGTCACCCAGATCAAGGCTACCAGGGGGTGCCACTTAGACAATTGTACCTGTTTTAGGGTACATCCAGAAACCGCGTAAAACTGTAGCATGTATAAGTGGATTATGTGTCACACTGAGGGGAGGAGATGTATGGGAGGTAACTACTGTACTATTGGCCACTGTACCAATTATTGTAAATCCCTCCCTTGCATGGGAGAATCCTTTATAAGGAATCTGTGTGATTAAAAGTTCAGTTCTGCTCCTGATGCTGTATGTCGTCCAGTCATTGGGATTGATGTTGGGATATTGTTGGATTGTTTTGCCTGCTGGAATTATTGCCTTATGGATTTCTAATACTTGTTCCTGAGCCTTACTGGGATCTTAAGTGGAGATAACTTGTGTAATAGCAGCTCTCCGCTACATACACCATGTCTCTCTGTCACTGCTGGTATACACGATGGCTCTCTATCACTGCTGGTATACACGATGGCTCTCTATCACTGCTAGTATACACCATGGTTCTCTATCACTGCTAGTGTACACTATGGTTCCCTATCACTCCTAGTGTACACCATGGTTCTCTATCACTCCTAGTGTACACCATGGTTCTCTATCACTGCTAGTGTACACGATGGCTCTCTATCACTGCTGGTATACACGATGGCTCTCTATCACTGCTGATATACATAATGGCTCTCTATCAGTGCTGGTATACACGATGGCTCTCTATCAGTGCTGGTATACACGATGGCTCTCTATCAGTGCTGATATACACAATGGCTCTCTATCAGTGCTGGTATACACAATGGCTCTCTATCAGTGCTGGTATACACGATGGCTCTCTATCAGTGCTGGTATACACGATGACTCTCTATCAGTGCTGATATACATAATGGCTCTCTATCAGTGTTTGTACACACAATGGTTTTCTGTTAATGCTACAAATCACCATGTCTCTCTATTTTAAATCACATAGTGTCCCCTAATCATACTACTGATAACATATCATTAATATTCTTAATATTATTATTGGCATTTATATAGCGGCAGCTTATTCAGCAGCTCTTTACAAAAATATAAAGGGAAAATTTACAAGAAATGAAACAAACTATTACAGATATTAACCAGAACAATAGGTTAATAAGGACCCTGCAAAAAAGAACTTGCAATCTAGAGCATATCATTTATACCGTTTGGTCACGGCTCTTCTAGTCTAGAGACATTCTAGAATTTGTACTTTATATGAGCAAAGCTCTATATCAATAGAAGTAAATGTATTTATCTGGCAGTAAATGTATACCTGTCTCTATCGTGTAACAGTATACATATCAGCCGTGCCATACAGATAATAATGTACATTTTTCACCAACAGGATGGTATCCAAATGGAGCCAGATCTGCAGGATAATTTGCGAGTTTTCAGGTAATCAATCCATTGTAAACTTTGATGAGATTAAAGCAGATTGTTGTAAAGAAGAATACACATAACTAATTGCGCTGCTAGGCAAGCCAGAAGCACCAGATTCTAAAGCCCTGTATGTCCAAATAGCATAATACCTTCTCCATCAACACCCACCAAGCATCCCCAATCAGCACTCACCATACCTACCTACCTGCATTCCTCAGCATTGTTAGGGTGTTTTGGGGAGTCAGGATGCTTTGCTTTGGATTAAAACCTAAGATAGTTTTGGACACTTGCAATGCCGTTCATGGTAATCATGTGCTTAAAAGTTTATTTCAAGTCCCAATTCACAGGTACTAAAAAATATATATATTATAAAGACAAGAAAAAGCAAAGACAAATGGAAGAAATGCATTACTAAATGTGTCATTTACTGAGGCCGAATGGCTCTGTACCCAACAGAGCAAAACCATTCACTGCTGTACAGGCCCATTTGGAATGCAAAATCAGGACATTGTTCACTTTGGCCAAGATTTCAGAAAAATGCTGCATATATGAGCCCTAGTCAATCATGACTGCCTGATAAGCCTCTAACAGAACTATTTACTAAAATGAGAATTCAACATAAATTCAAAGTGTATTTCAAAGTTAAGGCCAGACTGGAAGCATAGCTGATTTTTCGAAATCCACTAATTTGACCATAAATGTGAAATCCACTTGAAATCTCACTTTACTAAATACATACATATATATTTATTTAACCTATATACTTTTACTATGCTTTGTTTATAAATATAAAACATAACATGTATCACTGGGATTGTAAAATATTTTATCCATCTCCACAGGCCCCGGAAAATGACCCTGAAGGGCTATAAACCGAACTGGGTTCAGCTAAAAAGTACTAATTTATCCTGTTACAAAAGCAAAGAAGAGGCCAGAGGGGAACCATTGATCATGCTGAGCCTGAAGGGTAATTAATGAGTTCTTTTTATTCACATAGTGTTTGAATTTAGAGTAAAACATTATTTGTATGAATTAATTATGTTATGATCTTATACTACTCTCTAAATTAACTTGTCTGTCTAGAAGATCCATAAAAAAAACTGAAAGAAAGATACCTGTATTGCAGGATAATATACATCACTGGGCCTTCATTGTGGCTAGTATTAGATCTGTTTGGCAAGTTGATACAATGAGGTGTGAAAAAAAAGGTGTTTACAGCATATAGTTCATGGAGAGTGAACAGCAAAAAGTTGCTTATAGTGCAGGACCTGAGGAACAAACATAGGTAAAATTCAGAAAGATTTGATGATAGTTACAGAGCAGGGTGAAAGGGACATAGTGTGTAGACACCAACTATGACGACTACAGAAATATCATTAGCCAGGTTGGACCTCTTGTTCGGGCTGGCTAATGATGCGGCCAGAGGTTGAGGTATACTTCCAGAAGCAAAGGGGTAAAAGGCTGCATATACAGACCCCAGGCACCATGACCAATTCAAATCACTGAAGTGCAATAGTACTTGAAAGAACCCGTTAATGAAACAAAAATGGAAAAAAGGCTTAACTTTTCAGTTCTTTGTCTTGGTTTCTTCACAGGGTGTGATGTTGTACCGGAGGTTAATATCGCCTCTCAAAAGTTCTGTATCAAACTTGTAGTTCCATCACCAGAAGGAATGAATGAAGTTTATCTGCGCTGTGACAACGTGAGTGTTATGGGCATCTAATAAGTCCACCTCTGTCTCACCTTGTGATGGGAGGGTCAGATCCAAAGCTCACTCCTATAAAATCTTACAAGTTACTTGATAAAATACATAGTCTTTTATGCAGTCTGTGTCATCAGCAGTTGGAGTGATACATATTTATTTTTTTATATTTATTATTGTATTATAAAGACTTGCCAATAAGTGACTGTTTAAACATATACAGTAGCAGGCCACCCTGGTGTGCTGTTGGTTAGATAAACATACATTTATATACCTACATGACTGAGAAACATCTAATATCTTCTTTGTCTATCTATCCAGGAGCAGCAGTATGCCCGATGGATGGCTGGGTGTCGCTTAGCAGCAAAAGGACGTACATTGGGTGATCCATCATATGATGATGAAGTCAAGAGTATTTTGTCTTTTCTCAGCATTCAGAAATCCAGTAACCAAACTTCAAACTCCTTAGCCACAGACTCTACAAACATGCATGCCCTAGTTTCTCCTCGTTACCAGAAAAAGCTCAAACCAAAGCAGGTAAGCAGTTAAATAGGTCAAACCAGAGATGGGGGAAATTGTGATCTGCCTAGTGCTTGGCTTAAACTGCTGTTGCCTATCTACGAAGGCTAAATAATGTCTGATAATTATGGGATTTGTTGCACTAGAGTTAACTGTGTTGTACACAATGCCTCAAAAAATGGTGATTTGGTTTGATTTACGTGAAAGTAGTTAAAGGGCACTATAGTGTCAAGAACACAAACGTGTATTCCTGATACTATAGTTCTAAAACCACCATTTATGTGGTCGACTCCCCTTACATCCGGTGAATAAGGTGATTTACTTACCTTTTTCCAGCACCGCACAGGGCTCTTCGCTACTGGCCTCATCCCCAATTCGCCTCCTTGGCTGGCATCATCAGAATTGATTACCTCAGCCAATCACAATGCTTTCCGAAGGAGGTGGGAACAGGGCGGGACCAAAACCCGCCCTGACCAATCGGCATCTCCTCATAGAGATGCAATGAATCAATGCACCTCTATGAGGAAAGTTCAGTGTATCCATGCAGAGACTGGAGACACTGAACATCAGTGTTCCATACTGTGCAGCACTGCCCCAGGAAGCACCTCTAGTGGCCGTCTGAGAAGTGGCAACTAGAGGAGTCCCTAGGGAGCAATGTAAACACTGCTTTTTATCTGAAAAGACAGTTTTTACATTAAAATGCCTGCAGGGAATGATTATATTCACCAGAATAACAACAATAAGCTGTAGTTGTTCTGGTGACTATAGTGTCCATTTAAACAAGTTCTAAAGATTTCTGATACAGTTAATTTTGTGAAATTGCATAAAAGCAGATTGAGTTCATCTACAGTTCTTTTTTTTTTTTTTTTTTCAGTTAACCCCTAGAATTTTAGAGGCCTATCAAAACATTGCCCAGCTATCGCTTGTAGATGCCAAACTACGCTTCATTCAGGCCTGGCAATCACTCCCAGATTTTGGGCTTTCGTACTTTGTTGTAAGGTTAGTGACACTTTATATTATTGCAGAAAGCCATGTCTGTTTTTTATAATGTTATCTGTTTTCCATACTCTCCCACTTCCCGTTGTATTGCAGAAATTCTACCATTTTTTTATCTTTACTCAACAATATTTTCACCAATATGTTGTTATCTGTCACTACAATTCTTATGCCAGATTTAAAGGAGCCAGAAAGGATGAGATATTGGGAATTGCCAGCAACCGTCTGATACGCATAGATCTGAGCGTTGGGGATGTTGTAAAAACCTGGATGTACAGCAATATGAAACAGTGGAACGTCAACTGGGACATCAGACAGGTGAGTTGAAGACAGAAAATGACTAAAGAACAAATCTAAGCCGGAGCACGTTAGTAGAGGACATTTGGTTATAACACATAGAAGTTAAAACATATCTGTGTCCCTCTTCTGTTTCAGGTTTCCATAGAATTTACAGAGAATATTAATGTTGCATTCACATGTGTCTCAGCTCCTTGCAAAGTTGTTCATGAGTACATTGGAGGCTACATTTTCATGTCCACACGTGGTAAAGATGGTGGAAGCAAGGGACTGAATGAAGAGCTCTTCCACAAGCTAACAGGTGGCCATGAGGCTCTTTAAATATCTCCACAACTACATCTATTCATCGTCATGCCTCAGAAATGGAACATTTTTAGCAGACTCAATAATGATATCCTTGTTGGTCTATGTAAATGTCAGATGGACAATAAACATCTACAGACTGTTCCATGTCTACTTTGCATGATCATCCGTTTATGATCACCTCAAGTCTAAAGTCTAAAGTCAGCCTTTATGGTCATGGGAGGATTATACATACATGAGATCGTGCCTACTACAGTTTAGATCCACATACACTCCAACCTGACAGATTTGTGAAGAATGTCAGGGAATAAAATCTGTCCAGAACGGTTTATGCTTGTGTACAGTTTTAGCCAACAGTGGTTGAATAAGTGGTCTAGTCTTTTAAAAAACAAAATTATATGAAGCACGCATGGGGAATCTGCACATTGGACATAGACAATTGATGGTATCAACCCCAAATAAATTTATGGTTAGGTCCTGGAAAATGTCGGTAGGTCTGTGGAAATGTTTGCACTTTGTTCATCCTTTAGACTATCAATTCAGGAAACACAATGTCCATTTTTGGGGGGCTGGATTAGAGTAAAAGCTAAAGTTTCCACAATTATCCAACTCTACAGCTAGGTCACCTCCGGAATTATGTTATTTATTTAGTTATGAGTGTTTAATTGTACTGTTAGCTCCACCATATAAGATTGACAAGTGTTTCGAACCTACAGTATCTGCAGAGTTCTGTTTTCCTTATATTTTCCATAGGTCACTAGTTAAAAATAGGACAATCACTCACAATACACATGGGCAAGTACACGTTTTAAAGCAGAACTAAAAATGAAATATGATCGCCCTTTACGTGAAAGAACGTTTTGTAATATTTTGTGTATGTGTGTAAACAAGTACATTTCAAAGAATATGGGATTTGTCAGGAGCAGACACCAAACCACATTGTCCATCATTTACTCAGATCATTTACATGGTTCCTAAATTATACATAAGCGTTTTCAATCCAGTTGGTTGCATGAGGTTTTCAAGTCTAAAGAATAAAAGTTGTTGGAACCTTCTTAACTCTTTGCTATATACCCACTCTGTAAAGCTCTACATTTTACTCTGCGTGGAAGGCTTACGTTTCAGTCTATGATGGTGAGAATATGGGCAATAAATGCCCTCAAAATTCTCTGTATAAAAGTTTACATGACACTGTGTGATCTACTCCCCTCCACTGTTACAGCAGGGGCAGTGGGAGATATCACTACTACCTTACACTAGACCACCAAGGAAAAGGTGGCAGAGGTGCAAATTATTTGACACTTGTGTAGTTTGGTCATGCTCATTTGTCTTCATGTTACTGTAGTTACCTGTGTGTTTACAATCATGGTCCATTTTTAATATATATTTTTAAGATTTGTATGTAGAGATGTTTTGGATGTATAGGCTTGTGCATCATCATCCATCACGTATATAGATGTGTAGGGCCCCTAATAGCTCAGGTTCTTTTTAACCAGTAATAACCAAACGTCTATTGACATCTCTGAGCAATCGACTAACCATCACAAACACAAGCTTGCAAAGTGGTTTTTGCTTCTATGTCTATTTTTCACTGACAGTGCGCACCAACCCCAAACAGCCACACCTATTCCGTGCAGTAAAAGCATCTTCGATATGTAAACTTTAATAATAAAGTATAAAGCTGCATATAGAGCTGTGTAGTGAGATATATATTATCACACACATCTGAAGGTGATCAAGATGTATAGGATGTTATTCAATAATAAATACAAAAAAAATATATCATGTTTAAATATGGTCTGTACACAAAAATAAACACAAATGTATTATTTTGGCTTTTTATCAAATTAAATAACACCTGGTTTAATGCATTCACTCTGCCGACTGATTTTTAGAAAGTGCATTTCGTCATATATCATTTGAGGGGAAGAAGTTGCCCTGCAATAGAAAAAAGGGTTGAGGCCTACCGCACACGCACAGCCACAGACCTCGAGTCGCTCCTGTGGAGAACCTTTGCAGACCACCCAGGCGAAGAGGTACCACTACCCGAAACTGCTATGGGCCGGAGATCACAAAAACCTACGGTAGGGTCTGACAATAGGGATATCGAGACAATGCTACAACGACCGGCACAACCCAAACCCCCTTCACCGCCAGAACAGCGGAAGGAGGCGGAAACCGAGCCTGACAGGCGGGAGCCAGAGGTAGCACCAGCACCCCTGACAGCTACACCCCTATCCATGGACACCTCCGACGACTCCGCTCCGACCACTAAAGGAGACCTGAAAATACTCCTCGCCAACATTCATAAACTACTGGCGGCAGACTCAGCCAAGTTCAAAACGGAGTTGCAAGCGGTCAGAGAAAAAGTGGGAACGGTCGAGGACAGCATAGCAGATGCACATACCAAGATCAATGCGGTGCAAGATCTGGTCCAACAACTCCAACAGAACCAGAGAACCCTGACTGGAAGGCTCACGGTCATGGAGGACCGACACCGCCGTTCACATATAAAAATTAGGGGGATCCCAGCAGCGGTGTCCACAGAGGAACTGCCTCATTACGTAAGGCGCCTACTGGCTACTATACTACCACCAACCATGGCACGCAAAATTACCGCTGACAGCATATACCGTCTCCCCGTAACAGCGCACACAAAACCTAACACGAACCGAGATGTTATCGTACGCTGTCACACAGTCCAAGAAAAAATTCAAATTATGCAAGCCATCAGGGGCAAAACACCACTCACCTTCGAGAGCTCTGAGCTGTCGTTCTTCCAGGAGCTGACAAGGGCTACTCTGCTGTGGAGGAAATCCTGCGGACCCGTCACCACCCAATTACGACAAGCAGGCGTACCGTACAGGTGGGGGACGGACAACTCCATAATAGTCACACAAGCTGGCTCCAAGCACGTCCTACACAATATGAATGAAGCCGAGCCCTTCTTACAAAAACTGGACCTGCCCAACAGACCAGCACTGCCGGGGCAACCTACAAGATCCTGGGACCCAACCACAGTTATACCCTTTGTCCCGCGCACCAGAGACACTCCGCCACCAGATACATAAGGCACGGAGCAGAGTACCCGCACACCGCTGCACTTCTTCCAGAGGGGAGAGCCTCAGTGATATTGATGGGACTTTTGATCACGATAAACAAGACTGGTTCGAATCAATCTTCCTCTAAATTTTGTTTCTTGTTCAATGTTATTATTGTTCCCTTTAACAAATATGCTTGGACTTGGCCCCCCTGACTCATATATGTTATATAATGTGACATCTCACCTCACCACCTGACAGGGGAATGACAAACACTACTCCCGCACACACAACCCGGAGCACGATAACCAAGAGAACACCCGCCTCCCCGGGGGCATCAGCGGGACCACACTTGCCACCTGGCATCTTTACCTCCCTCCCCCCCCCGCAGCCCCCTTAGGTTAGGGGCACCACACCCGCCCGTATCAGCAACCACCAAGTCATTTCACAATTAGGACCATTACTGACCTGATGACCCGCACAGCTCGCCTGCCAAGGTCCATCCCGAGATGCGAGCGGACATTGTAAACGAGCCTGAACCCACACACCTATATAGGTCAATGACAGCTAGAATCGCGACTCACACAACACTATACCCCTCATTGACTCACTACCGACACCCACTACAGGGCCACCGAATTCACGACATGAGTTCGTAGAACTCAGCTAAACTCTAAGTTCCTGACACCTTGGTTGCCCTGTGGAATTAATACCCTAGCTGAACACAAATGGATACATTAAAAAATAGTGTTATTGATAGCTCTGCATAACGGAAACACACCATGTACTGCAGCGCACAAATGTCACCCGGCTTTAACTGCTCTCACCTTGTACATAACTAATATGCAATGCCTCTCTTGTTCATAAAGATGTTATGCCATGTCTATATCCGGTTTGCACCTGCCGTTGTAGCAGAGCAAACCAGTCTGTTAACCACTCGCACTAACAAAATAAAGAATTATAAAAAAAAAAAACTTAGATCTGAAAAGGACCATAGTACGGGAATCTGAGTGAATCCAAATTTGCTAAATGGTTTTTCAAAGTGTGGCTGAAAGCATAAGGAGTAATTTAGAGTTATGGGGTGGTGAGGTGGGAAAAATTCCCAATATGGACAATTCCAGGAGAGGGGAAATGAAATATGCAGAGAAAGAGAAAAGCGTATGTTTAAATAACCTTTAAAGCTGCTGAATGTCTTCGCTGGCCCACAGACAGTGGTCATATTTCAAACAATTACAGGAGGATCTCATTTTGAAACAATTTTGTTGATCTAGAGCTATGTAAACATGATGGTAAACCTTCAAACGCATCTATTGGAATGTGGGCACTAGCTGCAGGTTTAGAGTGGAAGACCATGCTGATGTAGACTGTCAAGGGTGAGGTCCGGAATATGGACCTTCCAGGACCCAAAACCTTGGAATACAATCCAAGTGAGATTTTATGTTTGCATAGAGTGTGCTCAATAAATAGTGTATAGTTGGAGAAATAAATGTGGCCTTCCTTAAAGGACCACTCTAGGCACCCAGACCACTTCAGCTTAATGAGGTGGTCTGGGTGCCAGGTCCCTCTAGGATTAACCCATTTTTTTTTTATAAACATAGCAGTTTCAGAGAAACTTCTATGTTTTTAAATGGGTTAACCCAGCCTCCAAATCCTCTAGTGGCTGCCTCATTGACACCCGCTAGAGGCGCTTGCGTGATTCTCACTGTGAAAATCACAGTGAGAACACGCAAGCGTCCATAGGAAAGCATTGTAAATGCTTTCCTATGAGACTGGCTGAATGCGCGCGCAGCTCTTGCCGCGCGTGTGCATTTAGCCGAAGGGGAGGAGAGGAGGAGGAGAGCTCCCCGTCCGGCGCTAGAAAAAAAGGTGAGTTTTAACCCCTTCCTCTCCCCAGAGCCAGGCGAGTATGTTTTCCTGGCACTATAGTGGTCCTTTAATTTAGGAGGAAGAACATAAAAGGAAGAGAAAAAAAATGCCCTTTTAAGTTAAAGGGACAGTACAAGTACCTTAATTTTTATTGTTTATTTTTCAAGGCAGTTTGAGGCATTCTCCACCAATGCAGCAATACAATACATCCGTATAAACACTGAAAACTCGGTACTTGTATGTTTAGATTCAGTCTTCCGCTACTCCCCCAACTCCTCCCATAAGGCTCACACCTTTTCAAATGATTTCATGGCATTGAGAACTATAGCAGTGAGCTTATCCATTAAATAGTTTTCCCGCATCCTTTGTTTAACCTCTGTCAGGCTAGGCGTCATCTCCCCCAACCACTTTGCAGCAAGTACGTTTCGGAGTCATTACATAATGTATACCATGCACATATGGAGTCATTACATAATGTATACCATCAGCACACGGAGTCATTACATAATGTATACCATCCGCACATTAAGTCATTACATAATGTATACCATCCGCACATTAAGTCATTACATAATGTGTACCATCCGCACATTAAGTCATTACATAATGTATACCATCCGCACACATGGAGTCATTACATAATGTATACCATGCACACATGGAGTCATTACATAATGTATACCATTCGCACATTAAGTCATTACATAATGTATACCATCCACACACTGAGTCATTACATAATGTGTACCATGCACACATGGAGTCATTACATAATGTATACCATCCGCACACATGGAGTCATTAAATAATGTATACCATCCACACACATGGAGTCATTACATAATGTATACCATCCGCACACACAGTCATTACATCATGTATACCATGCGCACACAGTCATTACATAATGTATACCATGCGCAATTGGAGTCATTACATAATGTATACCATCTACACATGGAGTCATTACATAATGTATACCATCCACACACTGAGTTATTACATAATGTATACCATCTGCACACAGAGTCATTACATAATGTATACAATGCGCACACAGAGTCATTACATAATCTATACCATCTACACACGGAGCCATTACATAATGTATACCATCTACACACAGAGCCATTACATAATGTATACCATCTGCACACGGAGTCATTACATAATGTATACCATGCGCACAGAGAGTCATTACATAATGTATACCATGCGCACACAGAGTCATTACATAATGTATACCATCTACACACGGAGCCATTACATAATGTATACCATGCGCACACAGAGTCATTACAGAATGTATACCATCCACACACGGAGTCATTACATAATGTATACCATCCGCCCACGGAGTCATTACATAATGTATACCATGCGCACACGGAGCCATTACATAATGTATACCATCCTCACACGGAGTCATTACATAATGTATACCATCTACACACGGAGCCATTACATAATGTATACCATCCGCACACAGAGTTTTTATATAATATATACCACGCGCACATGGAGTCATTACATAATGTATACCACACGCACAATGAGTCATTACATAATCTTATTGTACTTTATTTGGTCGAGATGATCGGTGGACGGTGAACGGTGAACTCGACAGTGACAGTGATATACCCCATGAACTGTGAGCCAGTCAAATAGATTTGCATTACTTTTATTTACAATTTTTAAAGTTTTTAACTTAATTTTATGGAGACCAAATAAAGTGCAATAAGATAGAAGACTGGGAAGTCGTCTCTAACTAGCATTGTAATATACTGTGGGGCTATTTAAAGTATAGCACATTACCTGGGATTAAATATAAGTGCAGTGAAAGTGCACTTTTACAAGGTAAGACCTCCACATAGGGTGTGTATGGTGGAAGTTTCTCACCTAATAATATTACACCATCTGGTCCATCTAGGGTTAACCCTTTTTTCTATAAACATAGCAGTTTCAGAGAAACTGTTATGTTTATGTTAGGGTTAATCCAGCCTCTAGTGGCTGTCTCATTGGCAGCCGCTAGAGGGCTTCCGCGTTTCTCACTGTGAAAATCACAGTGAGAAGACGCCAGCATCCATAGGAAAGCATTGTGAATGCTTTCCTATGGACTGGCTGAATGCATGCGCGGCAGCGCATTCAGCCGAAGAGGAGGCGAAGAGGGAGGAGAGGAGGAGGAGAGCCCTGGAGAAAGAGGTAAGTTTAACCCCTTCATCTCTTCAGAGCCCAGCGGGAAGGGGACCCTGAGGGTGGGGGCACCCTCAGGGCACTATAGTCACAGGAAAACGGGTATGTTTTCCTGGCACTACAGTGATCCTTTAAGTTTCTCTCCCCCCAGATGGGTATTTGAATTATCCTCCTAGAAGTGTTGAAGAAGCTTAAAAGGGGTGACTGCATCTGCAATGTGGACTATATGAGTAAAATCATCATAAAAATCTCAGGAAAATATCTATATATACACACATTTTGTATGTTGCAAAAAAGGTAGGGAGGCTGAGTGGGGTTTAATCTAAATAATTTTAAAAATTCAACTTCTGAGTGTGTGTGTATCTGTGTGTGCATGTGTGTCCATCTGTGAGTTTATGTGTGTGTCTGTCTTTGAGTTTGTATGTGTGTCTGTAAGTGTGTGTCTGTCTGTAAGTCTGTGTGTGTGTCATCAAGGTTTTTTTGTGAATATGTTTTTATTGAACTTTTTTTTTTCCAACATAAAAAAACGTATTAACGTGGACTCGCAGGTCCCTTTGTTTACTTGTAGTCGCTTATACATCGTAAGGTACAGTCTGTCAGACGTGCATTGGCGACTCGCAGGTCGCATTATCGAATAAATGGCATGTGTGTAGTGGACTCGCAAGTCCGGTAGTACATAGTTGTAAATAGTACTATTTTATGTCTGATGGGTACCATTTCTACATTGGGTAGGTTTGTATCTCCCGCAGGTTTTCTTCTGTTCCCCAGTGCCCACCCTGTAGCCACTAGGCAGTAGTGAGACTTGTAGGCCTCTTAATGTTTAGGGTCCCTTCAGGACACGCAGACCCCTTGTGATATCGTGTCTAATATCCTGAATGGCGGTATAGTGAGGTGTTGTCCCCCTACTCTGGTACGATTAGGCTCTGCCCAGTGCTACATATGGTGTTGGTGGGGAAAACCTAAGGGGCATCCTGAGATTCCGTCTAAACTAATAAACTTTGTAGCTCATGAAACTGATGAGCTTCTGCCCTCTTTACCTGTGTGGCCATGGGCAGTTTTGGATATTGCAAGCGGCCGCACCCTGGCGGGTGTCATAGCGTGACTACATCGATCTGGCTGGGCATGCGCTCTGCCTCTTGTGCACCCCAGTACGCTACTGTGGGGTCAGCCTCCGTGCCGCACCCCGGGCCCACGCTCTGCCAGGACCTAACAGGGGGTAAAGAGGTGGGGTGGGGTGGGGTTTGGGAGTGGGGTACTGTGCTTTGGAAGCGGGTGTGGGTCCGTTATTCTCCTGGTGTCTCCTACTGGGGATTGTCAGTTGCTCCCCCCATGGTCAGATACACGGTCCGAAATGCCTCCGTGCCCACCCGCGCCAGCCAGGGTGTCCAAGTGTCTATGTGTGTCTGCGCTTGGTCTTGGGCTGTATAACAGATCTCCTCTGTAACTCGTAACTCCTCCATTCTAGTAAACCACAGGGAAAGCGTTGGGGTTGTGTCTTTTTTCCAGTACAAAGGTATTAGGTGTTTTGCGACATTAAGAATTCGAATGGTCAGGGAGCGTTTGTATCGTGGTGTGGGGCTCGTCGAGTGGAGAGAGGAATATAGGGATTAGGAACGCTTCCTCCCACACCTCCTGTTCGCATATCGGGAGGTGCCCCAGGAAACGACCGGATTCTCTCCTTTCGAGCTGCTCTACGGGCGTCAGGTAAGGGGACCCCTAAACCTGATCCGAGAGCACTGAGAGGGAGAGATTGAAAATGCCGGAGTCCCCATCGTGCCATACGTGCTGGAGCTAAGAGACCGAATGGAGCAATTAGCCAGGTCGGTCCAGGCTAATCTCCAGTCGGCTCAGAGGAGACAGAAAGTATGGTATGACAGAGGCGCCCGGGCAAGGAGCTTTACTATAGGACAGAAGGTGCTTGTACTTAAACCAGTCAAGACAGACAAACTACAAGCCGCCTGGCAAGGTCCATACCAGATTATAGCAAAGAAGGGGGACACTACCTATACCATCACTAGTTGCCATGACGAAACGTTGAGGAAAACCTTTCACATAAATATGCTCAAGGAGTATCTAGAGAAACCCGAGAATGTGACAGCTATCTGCATTCCCCCTCACGAGGACCCAGACAACCTCCCTATTCCAGACTTGCTGGAAAGGAACCCCCACACAAACCTAGTGGCCCAGATCCAGATTGGAGACCGACTTAATGACGAAGAGAGGGAACAACTCCGCCAATTACTCCACGTTAAACAAACTACGTTCTCCCAAGAACCCGGGTACACTCACCTAACCACACATCAAGTAGACACCTCAGGTCAGCAACCCTTCCAACAGACGCCGTATCACATTCCTGAAGCCGTGTGGGCTGGAATGAAAACAGAAATCGAGGAGATGGTTAGACTAGGGGTGATTGAGCCTTCCAACAGTCCCTCGGCGTCCCCGGTGCTTCTAGTCCCTAAGAAAGACGGAACCACCCGATTTTGTGTGGATTATAGGAAGCTCAACGATAAAACGGTAACAGACGCCTATCCGATGCCCAGAGTCGACGAGCTACTTGACCGTATAGCCAGGGGAAAGTATCTAACCACCATTGACCTCTGTAAGGGGTATTGGCAAATTCCCCTGGCCCAGGAGGCTATCCCTAAGTCGGCATTCTTCACCCCGTTCAGTTTATACCACTTTAAGGTATTGCCGTTCGGGATGAAGAATGCCCCCGCTACATTCCAGCGCTTGGTGGATCGACTCCTGGATGGCTTCCAGGATTTTGCCTGCGCATACCTGGACGACAAAGCGATCCACAGTGAGTCCTGGGAAGAACACTTAGCTCATGTAGGAATGGTTCTGGATCAGATTTGGGCCGCCGGCCTGACTCTAAAGCCCGAAAAATGCCATTTTGGAATGGCTGAGGTGCAGTACCTGGGTCACCGAGTAGGGTGTGGGAAACAGCGACCCGAGCCAGCTAAAATAGAAGCTGTCGCCAACTGGCCCACCCCCACCACTAAGACCCAGGTCCTAGCCTTCCTGGGCACTGCAGGATACTATAGACGTTTTGTGCCAGACTATAGTGCCATAGCTAAGCCCCTGACGGACCTGACCAAGAAAAACCTACCCAGACAGGTCCTGTGGTCTCCCCACTGTGAAATAGGAGAAGACGGAGGGGAGCACCCAATTTCCTACATCAGCTGAAAGCTCCTGCCACGCGAAGTCAGCTATGCAGCAGTGGAAAAGGAGTGCTTGGCCCTGGTGTGGGCACTAAAGAAACTGACTCCGTACTTATATGGACAAGAGTTCGCGCTGGTGACCGACCATAACCAGCTGGTGTGGTTAAACCGGGTTTCTGGGGATAACGGCAGGCTCTTACGTTGGAGCTTATCGCTACAACCCTTTAATTTTACCATCACATACAGACCCGGAAAACAGAACGGCAATGCAGATGGATTATCTCGACAAACCGACCTCATTCCTGCATAACCCACCAGTCTGGACAGCCTTAGTCTGCCCCGATGAGGGGCCAGACGGTGTCTGCCAGAGTGTTTCACTAGGAGGGAGCACTGTTACAGACGCTCTACTGACCAGTACTGGTTCTCTTTATTTTAAGTTACCGAATGCCGTTCTCTTCGGTACCCTTGTTGTATATCAGGATCCTATATTCGTGCATACGAAGTAAAACCACCCAGGCCTTGGTGTGTGCCGCCACTTAACCTTTCTCACCTTTCAAACAACCGAACGGCCGACCACCAGGAACTTGCGGTTTGCGGTTAACCACAAACGTAATTGATTTCCCCAGGGTGGCCTAGTTCGTATACTACTTCACCGTACTCAAACTCCCGAACGAGGACCTCCCTATACTCCGGCGTGTGTCCCCAATTAGAACGTTGGGGCTGCGGTTAACCGCAGGCTAATTGCTTATTCAGGGTGGTCTGCGTTCGATCCACGAAGGGCTGAGACAACCATCCCTGGAGCGGTATTCGCATCACAGACTACCCGTCTCTCAATCCAGGGGTTTTGGAGCCAGGTCCCGCTCGTCTATTCCCCGACAGAAAACATGGCCAACATCTCATGTTGGGCACAAAGAAACACGAAAAGACTTTGTATGCCAAGGACTGGCTCTACCGTTCGTGAGGTCTGAGCGCTATTCGCCTATCTGATGCGCTCAGACCTGAGCTATCTAATGAATGGTAGAATATAGGAGATGCCTTATACAATGTTATAAATATGTATTTTTATGCTGTTTTGTATGTCACACGTGGGATTCTGGGCACTTGGAGATAATTGAATTGCCCTAAGCGTTGAAATCAGTATCTCCAAGTTGGACGGTGGCCATTTCAAATGATACAGTGTACTGTTATTGGTCAACTGTTTGTACTGTCCCTGTATCCCATCAGGTCCAGAGGGTCCCTGGACCTGAGGTTTTTGCATAAATAGCGATGCCCAGGTGCCATTAAAACCAGTTCTTGCTTGACTTTCAAATCGCAGCCTCGACTAGTTTTGTGGGAAAAGGGTATCCTAGCTGTACTAGAGCTAGTGGGATTGCTCTACATTTACAGGATTCGTGGAGGCTTACTACCGAAGTGGGTCTTCTCTCTCTCTACATTGGGGATCCAGGCTATCCAAGCGGTCCAGCTTCCAGCGAGCCTGGGGGTAACCGTAACAGAAATGCTATGGGGGTGTCTGCGAGTTTGTGTGTGTCTGAGAGTATGTGTGTGTCTGAGTATGTGTGTGTGATTGTCTGAGTTTGAGTGTGTGTCTGTGTGAGTTTGTGTGTCTGTCTACGAGTTTGTGTGTGTGTGTCTGTCTGCGAGTTTGTGTATGTGTGTCTGTCTGTGAGTTTGTGTGTGTCAATCTGTGAGTTTGTGTGTTTCAATCTGTGAGTTTGTGTGTGCGTCTGTCTGCAAGCTTGTGTGTGTGAATGTCTGCAAGTTTGTGTGTCTGTCTGCGAGTGTGTGTCTGTCTGTGAGTTTGTGTGTGTCTGCGAGTTTGTGTGTGTGGATCTGTAAGTTTGATCTCAGCCAAGCAAGGCTTTCCCATAGGAAAACATTGCGAGACTATTGTGCATGCACTAATCTGCATCTCCTCAAAGAGATGCATTTAAAATGAAGCTTTGTTATTTAAAAAAATACTTCTGGGGGCGGGAGCTGAGTTAAGCTCAGGGAAGAGCTGCTCCTGCTCTAAACAGACAAAAACTGCGGTATAACTGCCACGAACGGTGCTGAACCAACCCCAACGTGTCACTAATGGAGAGGGGCACATGAAGACACTAAACAAGCAGCCCAACCAGCAAAACTCAAGGACGAGACACCTGCAGCCTACAAGCATGGGCGGCGCAGGGGAGACAGCCGCTCCAATAAGGCCCAGTACGGCTGAAAACGGGTCTTTGAGCCTCCGTTCCCCCCCATGACTGGCGGGGTATATCCCAGTCCTGAGAGAGCCCACCCGGGTTGCGGGACAGCAACTTCAGATGGAACTAGCAAACCCGAAAATAGCGGCAATAGTCACTGCAACACCGGACGCAGCAAAGGGGCATGACGCCCTAGCACAGCTAAATGCTATATTTTAAGCCTTCTGGAGGAGACTTAAAGAACAGCAAGCCATCACACAAGCCCCAAAAGAACACGCACCGCCACTGCTGTCCACACGCTCCCGACATCACGGCACCTCCTGCAAAGCAAAGAGAGCGCGAAAATGGCGCCATCGCAAGCGACTCACAGTAAGCAGGCATACGCGAAGGAGCCCTGAAGTGATCAGCACCTCACACGAGCACAAGCCATCCACACACAGAGTCATTACATAATGTATACCATCCACACATTGTGTTAATCTCTTATTAGCATATGGAGTCACTGATGTTTGGACTAATTACATTTTTGTTTTGCTATGAATCCAGTGAAGAAAACCACTAGATAATGGCTGAGCACAATAGGAATTATAGTTCCAGGAATTACGGATTGATGGATACTTTAGTGCTTTCAAAGTACATTCCTAAATAGCTTAAAAAGTGATTATAGCAAAGATATCCTTGCTAATCTCGCAATCACTGAATCAATCATTCATCTGATAACATTTTATCAGGGCTATACCTACAGATACAAACCAATGACTAAGCAATCTCATTTCTTAAAGGAGCGGTCATTCCATTTTCAAATTCACTATTGAAGGCTGCAGAACGACCATTTTAAATTTGATCTTTACTCTCTGGAACACTAGCAAGATAATTCCAAATGTAACGTGGAGGTTTTGTGGAGTCCATGTCTCAATGCATGAAAGCTGTTTTGCAACATGAGGGGGACCTACACGATATTAGGCAGGTGGTTTTAATGTTGTGGCTGATCAAGCCTTTTTGGCCTTGTTATGAGCTGAAAAACTGCAATTGTGAAATGTTTTTGGTTCAAAAAAAGGACCAGACTTTTTAAATCGTGAAGATGATACGTTATGGTTATTACTGGAAAAAGCCTGGTGCATTTAGCTTAATGTCTGGGGCATATGGCAAGTCTGACCCCCTTTGCACCCCATTCCATTCCTTCATCTTTTCAAGCAACAGTCTTTTTAATTATATTTGATGCACTACTAGTTTCTGTAGCTCAGTTTGTATGTTTATCCCATTGTGGATATTCTGTTGACTTCAGACAAATATCTAAACATGTACAACAGTACAACCCCCACAAAAATAAAACCCAGGTCAATGTTGCTACTCAAACATGAATTCACAATTGTAACACAATCATAGGTCTCTGTGAGTACACAGATAATATGAACTGTTAGTCAGATAATTGATATGAACTGCTAGTCATCACAAGACGATTTCATTTGTTTTCTGCCGAACTTACTTTGAGGTCTGAGCTGCAGGACTTTTAGAAAGTATTTTGGGAGAAGCAAGCCCTCTGCATTTCCTGGTGTTAGGAGAACATGGTTAGAAGACCAGTAGAACTTGATTCCATCTAAAGAGAGAAGACGACATGTGGTAACTTAAAATGATGGCCTCAATTTAATTATTCTGGATAAACTTTGCAAATTATCACAATCTGTTCGAAAAAACTTTTCAAATTATTTATCTACACAAATTCCTACAGACATTTATGGTGACATCCGTAGATAAAGTATTTGGAAACTTTCTAACAGATTGTGATCATTTTAAAAGCTTATCTATAAAAGAAAAATAATAATTCAAGTCTTATGTCCAAAGAGGTTTAAAATTGTTTTACAAGAATAACTGGAGAGCAAACTACTGCAAAAAAAGTGAAACATTAATCATGGGATTTGGGTATTTATAACACTGTTAATGCATGCTCCATAATGCACTTCTTCCGTCCTCTGGGGTCCATTGTATTGTGGTGTTATACGATCTGACAGCATGGTGACGCAATCTACTCAAGATCTAATTTATGTATTTGCTAGTCTGTACAGCCATTGCTTAATGTATTAAAGTATTTTAAATCTGGGGGCGGGGCCTGACAGCGAAGATGGCCAGACGCACTTTTTAGGAGCTCCTGCAATCACAGGCCCAAAAGCAAATATACCAACTGACAGGACAGCATAAGCAGCAAAAGGTGATCGGGAGCGGACGCATGACAGCACCCAGCGCACAATGATACAAACCCGGCACCGATACGCCGCGGAAAAGCTGCAACAGGCCATGCGGCCTAACCTAGCGCAGAGCGTAAGGCCCACAGAGGACAGTCGACCGCCCTGCACGGTACAAGCTCCTACACAACAGCCCAAAGCAGCCCTGCTACCCCCCCCTTTGGACCGGAGGGGGACATCCCGGTCCTCGCTGGGGACGATTACCCCCACAAGCGCACGTGAACAAGCAGCGAACTTGCTAAGCAAACGAAATCCACAGGGCCCGGCCAAGATGGCGACGCGGCCCCAAGCCAAGCACATGAGCATCGCACCACCCAAGCACACAAAGGACTTTGTGGACTTGCTACGATTCCACCTCTGGGCGAAGCTTGAAGCCAGGAGACAACCCTACCAGAGGGCGATGAGAGCGGTGGCGGCGTGGATTCGCCCGACCACCCGGCGTACCTTACAATGGACTCCCCCTCACAACTCCAGAGCAGCCTCCAAACGAAACTGGAGCCCAGGCTCAAACAGGCGGGAAACGGCGCAGGGCCTTCTGGACGCCAATTCTCACGACCCCGCTCCGCAGAAGAAGATCCGACATGCTTCTCACTCAGCGACCACAGAAAACAACGAGCAGCAAAGCATAAGCCTGCACACAGCGGCCCACAAAGCCTGGGGTGCCGAAGACCGAAAAAAAACGAAGCTAGATCCCAAGAGACGCAACAGGCAGAAACCCCACTCACGACATACAGGAGTGGAAACCCAGAAGAGACCCTCACCCAACTGCACAAGCAAGACTGCCAAAATGGGCATCGGTTGAAACAACAGAACCTCAAGCACCTCACGGTCTATGGCCGACAACCCTGCCCATAAAGCAGAAACTGATATTCTCAGCAGACGGAGGCAAGGCATCTATATTGGGCTTAGTGTTAGGCATGTAACCTCTCTATACCTGACTTACCCTCAGATAACAAGCTAAAATTTATTGTTCACATCTCGGCACTCACCTTTAACATCAGAACCGGACTAATTATTAGTGCATGCCAACACACTGTTGCCCCTGTGGTTCTGAAGTGACAGGACGCCTTGGAAATTTACCCTTCTCTCTTACCAGCAGCCTACACCAACTACAGGACTAATGTGACGCAAATTACTGTTGTCTATATTTTTACTTTTTCTGAAACCTGCTGCTGAGACCAGTATAGCGAGAGAACAGAATTGTTAATAGTCCTTTGCATTGCTCTTGCAGATACACTAGCTTATACACTGCATTTGTGTAAAACAGGAGATTCTCATTCTGTTAACTTAATATATACAAACTCATGTTATGGTAGCCTAAATGTTTTATCGCATAGTTAGCAAACCGCCTTAACACTGTACCAGCGTACGCGAAGTTCTAATGTTAAGCTTGAACCAGCAATATATTGTCTAAGCATGTAAACTTTGTTTTGCATAATAACCCTACGGCACCCATTAGCACACACTCGCATAGGTCTTGCTACACTACAGGCAACACATCACAACCTTACTGCAGCACGTCATACGAAAACATATGTAGTCAACCAAGCGAGAATCTGTCTACTTGCAATGCTGCCCTAGCTATAAACATCTTCCCTTACACGCAAAGCAACATACCTTAATGTACCACCAAGCGAGAACAACTTTACTACGTACACACTTAGACCAGCATGTCTATCACAAACCACAAATGTTTTATAGCTTGTTAATTTCATGTTGAAAAAAGATAAAAACTGTGCTGTTTAATCTGCCACGCTATGTGATGCTATGCAACTGCTTGCAGCAGCTGTCGTGGCTCTGCATGCTCAATGTTAATCCATGCACAAATAAAATAAAGAATAAAAAAAAAAAAAAAAAAGTATTTTAAATCTCTTCATTATATACTGCACTTTTCTTGGATATTTTCCTGTGATTGACTAGACTGCGTAGAATCTAAATGGTTTAAATGTGTCGCTGATTTTGTTCATAAATAAGAAGTCTTTTAAACTGCACTTCACACGATGACCTAAAAAGCTGCCTGGACTATCAGACTGCTTTCTAAATAAATCCAGGATTAAGTAGTAGAAAAGCACAGAAAATGAGAAGGAGAGAAGAAAATGTCAAAGGCAATAATTATTCTTCTCTTATTAAGAACATATGTCTGTCGAGCAGTGTTCAGATCAGGTCAATCTATAGAATAAAGCAATCAAAGTCATCGGTGGTTTCTGTGTTAAACGTGAATGTCCAAATATACACATAAGTATATTTACTAAACATCGAATTGTAGTGATCTGAAATGAGAATAGCAAAATTTAGGCAAACATAGCTGAGCTGTGACCGCAGCTCAGTGTATTGTTTTCCAAATCAGACGTTTTTGCCTGAATTTTGCAATTGACTTTTCTTTTTTTTTTTGACAAGCTTTATTTTTGCAGTGTAAATCAAGATAACTTGCAAGCAGACAATGCCACATTTGCAGATGTTAGTACATGCGATTTTACCTAATTGGCCATCGTCTTGGCATGCGCATACCTAACACATTTTATTTTACTGTCGTGGAAGACAGTAGAGTCACCGTTCTAACAGATTATGCAGTGAAAGACTGGTCTAATATGCTATATGTTAGAGATGAGGTTGTATGCGAAGTGTAAATTCCTTACAGGTTGCAGAAATGTATGTGGCATAATTTCAACATTCCGAACCATGTGGACAAAAAGAGAAACAGGTGCATAGGTTTAACATAACAGCTTTACACATTTTAGGTGATGAAGCCCAGTGTGTTAGTGTTACATTGCTGCAGGATGTGATTCTTACTGCCAGAGTTCCCTAGAGAGGGCATGTTATGTTTGGTGGAATCCGTTGTGGGTAGTGGTGTAGTTTTGTGATGGAATTTTGGTGAAATGTAAATTTAGTAGGCCGAGATTTCCACGTGGCATATGTAAGTACACGTGTATGTTGTATCAGTTAGTTAGTTACACGTAGCTAAGATACTGTCATCAATGTACTGAGCATTCCTTTCTCCTTTGTTTCGGATGAGCCATGTGGTCTGCCCATATAAGGAAATTCAGATCCTGTCCACCGATTGGTTAAGGGTATGTGCGGGTGGAGCTATTAATGGGAGGAGATATAGTTCTATAAAAAGCATGTACTCCATGTGTTCGGCCCTCAAATCTGTTTTGAAACGTTAGTTCATCTGAGACCCGATTGGTATGTTAATAAAGACCTTTTACTTCCTGAAGATCTGCATCCATCTCTCTGTGTCTGGCTTTTGCAAGTTTTCTCGGTTACATCTTTGGTGCATTGGCCGGGAAACTCATTGTCATGGAAGTTGAGACAGAGACGTGAGATGGTAGACTTTTACCAACGTTCTCCACGGCAGCATCCCTGAACTTCTGCATGGACATCCGTTCATCTCGGCGCCATTGGGCAGGAGATCATCGGCCTTTACGTAGTAAGTACCGGGGTGCCCCATTGATGAGTGTGAGCCCAGGTTCAGGATCGAAGAGGTAAGACTGATCCTGTTAGAGCGGTAGGCCAACAAGGGGTTTTATATTTGGAACCAGTTATTGGACTGCCCCCTACCTCTGGAGGGAAGAAGCGAAGGCGCAACGCTTATCCGGAAATTAGACGCTCTGTAGTCAGCCCGTCTAATATAGGTGGTTTGGGTCAGGCTGAATCTTGGTGTAAATAGTTCATGCCGGACACCAGTGTCCTGTCTTGACTAGCGTGTCTAAGTGTAAATTTCGATCGCTAGGTTTGGGAGGCCAGCGAGACTAAGCAGATTCTGGTGTACATTCCGTCTGCTAGCTCTCAACCTATCTTGGCTAAGTGTGCTCTGTTGTAAATTCAGCCACTAGACTATTGATAGAGTAGATAGACTAAATGGGTACTGTTGTAAATTCCGCCCACTAGTTCTCTATATGTGGTGCTTGGGCAGCATAGACTAACCGAATCCTGGTGTAAATAGTTCGATAGTTCTCGAGGTGCTGGCCAATTAGAATAGTTGGGATTATTGTAAATGTTGTTAAATTGTTGTTGGTTGGTGAATTGGTGAATTGTATGTCCTCCTAGAAAGCTTGAGCTCTGCCGTCTAGTGGGAGTGTAAATTGTGTGTATACTGTATAATAGCGCACGGTAATAAAACCATTAACATGTACTATAATTACTGACGTGTAAAATTACTAAAAACTGTTGTCTTATGTTATATGTGTAACACCATAACTGTTACTAACTGATCTGTGACTTTAACACTGTACTATAACCACTTGCTAACTGTACCATAACCACTGACCATAGCAAGACCACTTAATGTTATCTCACATATATATTATTAAGTGTTCTTGCATAGCAAGACCACTTATTGTTATCTCACATATATATTATTATTCTTATTATAGCCAAATTTGCCACCCTAACTCCTCCCACAGTTTTTAAACTAAACATTCAGCTATCCCTGGTGCCACTAAACATGTCAACGGCTAAGCCATAGTCCTGATAGTTTTCACAATATAATCATTTGCTTGCAACTAACGCCGTCCATTGACATTCATTGAAACTTCACTCTACAAAGCTCAAATTTCAAGTGCAATTTCTAAACTGCGACTGTGCCTTCATTTTTAATACTTCAGAGACATACTATGCATCAAAATGTAGGTCTGGGTCTTGTGATTCTCACAATATAAAGCTCTTCGCTGTAGGATTTATAATTTTTAAAATACGACCGTTTGAAGATGGCAACCGCCAAAATACTCTGACCTGTGCTAGTCTGCAGCAGCAAGTGATGTCATAGACAGGGCCTTTTGAACACCTGCTAATGTTTTTATAAATGTATGGTTTAATGTAACTGTGAAGCACTTTGGGCAACAACGTTGCAATTAAATGTGCTATATAAATGATAACAGCTATCTCTACCTGTAGACTACTGCGGAGGCAAGACTTCGGCCACAATTTCAGAAATTGTAGCTTTTCTAGTTATTAAGTGTTCTGCATAGCACTTATTGTTATCTCACATATATATTAAGTACCTTGTATAGCAAGACCACTTAATGTTATCTCACATATATATATTATTATTATTACATAGCAAGACCACTTAATGTTATCTCACATATATTATTATTATTATGTTCTTGCATAGCAAGACCACTTAATGTTATCTCACATATATATTATTATTATTATTATTATTATATAAAATTTGCCACCCTAACTCCTCCTCCCCACACAGTTTTTACACTACATAGACCAAAATTTACCAAAACGTGCAGATTGTTCCCGATCGGATTGCTATTACTTTGTGGAACGTTTCGCCGAATGGTTCACGGAATATCGTCGCTTTTGTGGCGCAATTTGTCCCATAGGAATGAATGGCAAAGCTAGAGTGGGAGCTGGCAAAAGCTGAAAAATCAGGACATGATTTCTAAACTGCCACCACTCCCTTATTTTCAGGCCCACCTACACAAATCTTATATCAAAACGTTCAGCTATCCCTGCTGCCACTAAACATGTCAACGGCTAAGCCATAGTCCTGATAGTTTTCACAATATGACCATTTGTTTGCAACAACTAACGCCGTCCATTGACTTTCATTGAAACTTCACTGTGCAAAGCTCAAATTTGAAGTGCAATTTCTAAACTGCGACTGTGCCTTCAATTTTAATACTTCAGAGACATACTATGCATCAAAATGTAGGTCTGGGTCTTGTGATTCTCACAATATATAGCTCTTCACTGTAGGAGTTATAGTTTTTAAGATACGACCGTTTGGAAGATGGCACCCACCAAAATACTCGACCTGTGTCAAGCTGCAGCAGTGACAGTCATAGACAAGCCTTTTGAACACCTGCTAATGTTTTTATAAATGGCTGGTTTAATGTAACTGTGCAACAACGCTGTAAAAGCATAATGATAACAGTTACCCTTCACTCCAGTTGTAGACTACAGGTGGAGGCAAGTAAGAACACTTCACACAATTTCCTGAAATTGTAGTTTTCTAGTTATTATTCTTATTATAGCAAAATTCTACACCCTAACCTCCCACAGTTTTTACACTACATAGACAAAAAATTTACCAAAACGCAGATTGTTCCCGATCGGATTGCTATTACTTTGTGGAACGTTTCGCCGAATGGTTCACGGAATATCGTCGTTCTTGTGGCTAAATTTGTCCCATAGGAATGAATGGCAAACCTAGAGTGGGAGCTGGCAAAAGCTGAAAAATCAGGACATGATTTCTAAACTGCCACCACTCCCTTATTTTCAGGCCCACCTACACAAATCTTATATCAAAACGTTCAGCTATCCCTGGTGCCACTAAACATGTCAACGGCTAAGCCATAGTCCTGATAGTTTTCACAATATAATCATTTGTTTGCAACTAACGCCGTCCATTGACATTCATTGAAACTTCACTCTACAAAGCTCAAATTTCAAGTGCAATTTCTAAACTGCGACTGTGCCTTCATTTTTAATACTTCAGAGACATACTATGCATCAAAATGTAGGTCTGGGTCTTATGATTCTCACAATATAAAGCTCTTCACTGTAGGAGTTATAGTTTTTAAGATACGACCGTTTGAAGATGGCAACCGCCAAAATACTCTGACCTGTGTCAAGCTGCAGCAGCAAGTGATGTCATAGACAGGGCCTTTTGAACACCTGCTAATGTTTTATAAATGTATGGTTTAATGTAACTGTGCAACAACGTTGCAATTAAATGTGCTATGTAAATGATAACAGTTACTCCACCCACTCCAGTTGTAGACTACAGGTGGAGGCAAGAACACTTCACACAATTTCCCCAGAAATTGTAAATTTTCTAGTTATTATTATTATTATTATTATAGCAAAATTTGCCACCCTAACTCCTCCCACAGTTTTTACACTACATAGACAAAAATTTACCAAAACGTGCAGATTGTTCCCGATCGGATTGCTATTACTTTGTGGAACGTTTCGCCGAATGGTTCACGGAATATTGTCGTTCTTGTGGCGAAATTTGTCCCATAGGAATGAATGGCAAAGCTAGAGTGGGAGCTGGCAAAAGCTGAAAATCAGGACATGATTTCTAAACTGCCACCACTCCCTCATTTTCAAGCCCACCTACACAAATCTTATATCAAAACGTTCAGCTATCCCTGCTGCCACTAAACATGTCAACGGCTAAGCCACAGTCCTGATAGTTTTCACAATATAATCATTTGTTTGCAACTAACGCCGTCCATTGACATTCATTGAAACTTCACTCTACAAAGCTCAAATTTGAAGTGCAATTTCTAAACTGCGACTGTGCCTTCATTTTTAATACTTCAGAGACATACTATGCATTAAAAAGGAAGGTCTGGGTCTTGTGATTCTCACAATATAAAGCTCTTCGCTGTAGGATTTATAATTTTTAAAATACGACCGTTTGAAGATGGCAACCGCCAAAATACTCTGACCTGGGCCAGGCTGCAGCAGCAAGTGATGTCATAGACAGGGCCTTTTGAACACCTGCTAATGTTTTTATAAATGTATGGTTTAATGTAACTGTGCAACAACGTTGCAATTAAATGTGCTATATAAATGATAACAGTTACTCCGCCCACTCCAGTTGTAGACTACTGGTGGAGGCAAGAACACTTCAAACAATTTCCCCAGAAATTGTAGCTTTTCTAGTTGTAAAGATGATGTTACTAAAGTGTGATAAAGTCGGTTAATTAAAAGTTGATTTAGAGTGTGGATAATTGTAGGGTTTGATTTATAGTTACAGAGATAAGTATCTAGTGTTTGGTAAATCTTTGTGAGTGAGACGTCGTGATATCACTGTATGTACGAGAATTCTCTGCATGTTTCCGTGTGTGTGTGTGTTTGGTCTATCAACTGTGCCACGTGGTTCTGTTGCCAGGGAAACAAGTGTGATCGTTGGAAGTGTGTTTGGGGTGTTGTGTTTCTTTGTATTAGATGCTCCGTTGCCAGTATGGGTGCGTCTGACTCAAAGATTGTTGATCCCTAGTTGTATGTTGAGCAACTTTGCCAAGGGATATAAAGTTTGTGATTTTGGGGTGAAATTACCCCCAAAGCGTTTGACTACATTATGTAGTAGAGAGTGGCCTATCTTGGTGACCGCACGGCCTCCACGTGGTAGTCCTGATCTAACTCTAGTACAACGTGTGTATGCGGCTGTATCTAGTAGGCCTGAATTCTATGATCAGTTTCCGTATATTGATTGTTGGAAACAGATTGTGGAAGAATTGCCTAAATGGATTAAGGTATGCCACGAGGAGCAATGTCGCCTCATGGTGACCAGGACTCGCCTGTCTATCAGGGCCGCAACCCCGCCCATTTTAGACTCTCCCTCTGAGTCTGAACTTCCCTCCCCACCCCCTTACTCTTCCTCCAAGGTTAGAGGAGGTGCTGCTGGTGTTGCCACTCCCCCTGCCCCATTGTCCCTGCCCACTCATTCATCTAGTTGAGAGCCCAGCCCACTTGCCCTAAGTCCTCCCCTTCCGGTACCTACCTCCACTAGTTCTATATATCCAGAATTGACTTCACTTCTGGTTCCTGGTCAGGCTCCTCCCAGCCTGGCCCGCAACATCCTGTTGACTGAACTTCCGCCCAGTAAAATTAACCGGCCTCATTCTCCTTACTTACTACCTCTAGACCGGAACTTACTATTAAACAGCCTTGCCGAAGTCCTATATTAACGCGACAGATGACTGGTACCCTTCAACCCCGACATTACCAAATGCCCCTCCGACTTACACCGGGCCCAACACACGTTGACGAAAATGGCTAAATACAACGGGCAGATCCTGTGTTTATGTCCCCTTCACCACAACTGATCTATTCAATTGGAAGACTCATAACTCCTCATATACCGACAAACCTCAAGTCATGACAGATTTGGTTACCTCCATTATACAAACACACAATCCCACCTGGGCCGATTGGCAGCAATTATTATTAACATTATTTAATTGTAAGGAAAGGACCCGGATTAATTAAGCGGCTATTAAAGAGCTTGAGGAAACGGCCCGGACTCAAAATCAGGCCAATCCAGCTGCATGGGCTGCAGCCCATTATCCAAATGTTGACCCAAATTGGAATGTGAATGATGCTGACATGCCCCAATTAGGGGCTTATCGGGAAGCCATTATTGCTGGCATGAAGACAGGAGGGAAGAAGGCAATCAATATGTCAAAAACGGCTGAGGTGTTGCAAAAGGTTGATGAGTCACCTAGTGCCTTTTATGAAAGATTAATGGAGTCATATAGATTGTATACTCCTCTTAATACAGAGACCCCTGAGAATTCTCGAATGATCAACTCAGCATTTGTCAGCCAGGCCCAAGGTGATATTAAAAGAAAATTGCAAACGTTAGAGGGATTTGTAGGGGTGTCCATATCACAGCTAATAGAGATCGCAAATAAAGTATATATGAATAGGGAAACTGAGATAAAGCGGGAGGAAGAACGTAAAATGAGGAAGAAGGCAGATATGCTGGCGGTAGCTATCACAAGTGTAGAGAGACAGGGAAGGGAGGTGAATAAAGGAGTTGAGAATAGGCTGAGTAAGGGACCTTTAAGTAGGAATCAATGTGCGCATTGTAGAGAGGAGGGACATTGGAAGAATGAGTGTCCACAGAGAGAGTATTATTAAATAATAGACAGGGAGAGAGAAGAGTGCAGGGAGGTTATAGTGGTAGTTATAGAGGAAGAGGAAGTTTTGGAGGGAACGGTGGGAATAGTAGAGGGAGTTGCATAGTTACATAGCTGAAAAGAGACTTGGGTCCATCAAGTTCAGCCTTCCTCACATTTGTTTTTTGCTGTTGATCCAAAAGAAGGCAAAAAAAAACCCAGTTTGAAGCACAACTTTGCAACAAGCTAGGAAAAAAATTCCTTCTTGACCCCAGAATGGCAGTCAGATTTATCCTTGGATCAAGCAGTTATTACCCTACATTGAAAGATTATATCCCTGAATATTCTGTTTTTGCAAGTATGCATCTAGTAGTTGGACTCCGATAAAACCACTTCTTCAGGCAGAGAATTCCACATCCTGATTGTTCTTACAGTAAAAAAACCTTCCTTTTGCCTTAGATGAAATCTTCTTTCTTCCAGTCTAAACGCATGGCCTCGTGTCCTATGTAAAGTACAGTTTGTGAATAGATTTCCACACAATGGTTTGTATTGGCCCCGAATATATTTGTATAATGTTATCATATCCCCTCTCAGGTGACATTTTTCTAAACTAAATAGGTTTAAATTTGTTAACCTTTCTTCATAGCTGATATGTTCCATTCCTTTTATTAATTTTGTAGCCCGCCTCTGCACTTTTTCTAGTGCCATAATATCCTTCTATAGAACAGTTGCCCAAAATTGCACAGCATATTCAATACCAGTGATTTATAAAGAGGCAAAATTATATTCTCGTCAAGAGAATGAATGCCCTTTTTCATGCATGACAATACCTTACTGGCCTTGGCCACTGCTGGTTGACATTGCACATTGTTGCATAGTTTGTGGTCTATAACAATTCCCAAGAGAGATAGATATTATCCACCTACTCAGAGACCTAGAGAGGATAGAGATTTTGTGGGTCTGGCTGACACTATCATGGAAGACTATTGATACCGACCGGGCTCAATCCCCCTTGGCCGAACGGAGCCTATGGTCGATGTAGCAATAGGGGGAAAGAGAAGTTCTTTTATGACATTGGTGCTGAACATTCCTAGGTGACTAAACTGGTAGCTCCGCCTTCAGGAAAAACTATAACTGTGATAGGAGCTACTGGGAGAAGCGCAGCTAGACCGGTTCTTAAGAGTCGCACTTGCATTCTGGGAGGCCATTTGGTGAAGCATTAGTTCCTATATATGCCAAAGTGTCCGATTCAACTTCTAGGACGAGATCCATTATCGAAGCTTCAAGCCCAGATAACTTTTCTACCCAATGGATCAACGTCTCTGAGGTTAAATGGATTACCAGGCATAATGGCGGTATCGGTGCCAAGGGAAGAAGAATGGTGCTTCTACTCCATAATGAAGGGTGATGAACCTTTATTTGACATTCCAGGAATATGGGCAGAGAATAATCGACCAGGGCTTGCTCGTAATATCCCACCTATATATTTTGAACTAAAGCTTGGGGGTTATCCTGTGAGCCTACGTCAGTATCATATACCTCAAAAGGCTAAGAAAAACATACTGACCTACTTGGATAAGTTCGTAAGGTATGGCATCCTAAAATTCTGTACTTCCCCCTGTAACACTCCTTTATTACCTGTTCAGAAACCAGGATCAGATGAGTATCATCTTGTACAAGATTTGAGACCAGTTAATGATGCAGTAGCTAATATACACCCAGTTGTACCCAACCCCTATAATCTGCTTGCTTTGATACCAGGTGGGGCAACCTACTTCACAGTTCTAAACCTTATGGATGCTTTCTTTTGCCTTCGGATTGCTGCTGAGAGTCAGTATATCTTTGCTTTCCAATGGGAAGATGCTGTTACAGGTTCAAAGCGTCAGATGACCTGGACCCGACTATCTCAAGGATTCAAGAAATCCCCTGCCCTATTTGGATCTGTATTAAGCCAGGATTTGCAAGATTTCAAGTCCATCCCAGGAGAATGTGTATTGCTTCAATACATGGATAATCTTTTGATAGCGGCTGTTACCAAAGAGATAAGCCAACAAGCAACTTATGATTTGCTTCACATTCTCTGGAGAGCATGATACAAGGTATCAAGGAAGAAAGCGCAATTGTGCCGGTCAACTGTCAAATATTTAGGATTCCATATTTCTGAAGATCAAAGAATAATGGGACCTGAAAGAAAAGAAGCAGTGTGTCGGATATCTATACCTAAGAATAGAAGACAAGTGCAAACATTTTTTAGGAGCAGCAGGATTCTGTAGGATATGGATTCCTAATTATGCGACACTGGCGAAACCTCTATATGAAGCTATGAAAGGCACAGAATATGACCCCTTTTTGTGGACCTCTGAACAACAGAAGGCATTTGAGGATGTTAAGAAAGAACTTATGAGTGCCCCAGCCCTAGGTCTACCAGATCACACACGTCCTTTCTATCTGTACGTACACGAGCAAAGAAGAATGGCTGTGGGAGTATTAACTCAGTATTTGGGATCATGGCAAAGACCTGTAGCTTATATGTCCAAACAGTGATGGAAACCATGTTAAAGGATAGGATTGTTGAACATCTAAAAACACGTGAATTTCAAGATCAGAGACAACATGGGTTTACTTAAGGGAGATCATGCCAAACTAATCTTATTGATTTTTTTGATTGGGTAACTAAAATTATAGATCAGGGTGGTGCAGTAGACATTGCTTACCTAGATTTCAGTAAGGCTTTTGACACTGTTGCACATAGAAGGCTTATCAATAAACTGCAATCTTTAAGTTTGGATTCCAATATTGTTGAATGGGTAAGGCAGTGGCTGAGTGACAGGCAACAGAGGGTTGTAGTTAATGGAATATATTCGAAGCTTGGACTTGTCACCAGTGGGGTACCTCAGGGATCTGTACTTGGACCCATTCTCTTTAATATTTTTATTAGTGATATTGCAGAAGGTCTTGATGGTAAGGTATGTCTTTTTGCTGATGATACTAAGATATGTAACAGGGTTGATGTTCCAGGAGGGATAAGCCAAATGGCAAATGATTTAGGTAAACTAGAAAAATGGTCAGAATTGTGGCAACTGACATTTAATGTGGATAAGTGCAAGATAATGCATCTTGGGCGTAAAAACCCAAGGGCAGAGTACAGAATATTTGATAGAGTTCTAACCTCAACATATGAGGAAAGGGATTTAGGGGTGATTATTTCTGATGACTTAAAGGTAGGCAGACAATGTAATAGAGCAGCAGGAAATGCTAGCAGAATGCTTGGTTGTATAGGGAGAGGTATTAGCAGTAGAAAGAGGGAAGTGCTCATGCCATTGTACAGAACACTGGTGAGACCTCACTTGGAGTATTGTACACAGTACTGGAGACCGTATCTTCAGAAGGATATTGATACCTTAGAGAGGGTTCAGAGAAGGACTACTAAACTGGTTCATGGATTGCGGGATAAAACTTACCAGGAAAGGTTAAAGGATCTTAACATGTATAGCTTGGAGGAAAGACGAGACAGGGGGGATATGATAGAAACATTTAAATATATAAAGGGAATCAACACAGTAAAGGAGGAGACTATATTTAAAAGAAGAAAACTACCACAACAAGAGGACATAGTCTTAAATTAGAGGGACAAAGGTTTAAAAATAATATCAGGAAGTATTACTTTACTGAGAGGGTAGTGGATGCATGGAATAGCCTTCCAGCTGAAGTGGTAGAGGTTAACACAGCAAAGGAGTTTAAGCATGCGTGGGATAGGCATAAGGCTATCCTAACTATAAGATAAGGCCAGGGACTAAAGAAAGTATTTAGAAAATTGGGCAGACTAGATGGGCCGAATGGTTCTTATCTGCCGTCACATTCTATGTTTCTATGTTTCAGTTGGATGCAGTAGCCAATGGTCTTCCACCTTGTCTGCGAGCAGTGGCCGCCGCTGCCCTGTTGGTAGCAGAAGCTGACAAGCTCACATTGGGTCAGGAACTCTACATGTGAGTACTCCATGCAGTACAGACCCTATTGGATTACAAAGGAAATCATTGGTTTAGCAACAGTCGAATGACCAAATATCAAGCTATGCTATACGAAAATCCAAAAGTACACCTCGAGACTGTCAATAATTTGAATCCAGCTACCCTTCCGCCCCAGACTACTGAAAGTCAACATGATTGTTTGGAGATAATGGATGAAGTGTTTTCAAGCAGGCCTGATCTTCATGATTTCCCCATCCAGAATCCGGACAAACAGTATTTTACGGATGGTAGTAGTTATGTGAAAGAAGGTATACGTTATGCATGGTATGTGGTAAAAACCATAGACAAGGTGATAGAAGCACGGCCAATGTCGAAAGGGACATCAGCACAGAAGGCGGAACTGATTGCATTAACAAGGGCCTTGCAATTAGCTGAAGGGTTGAAAGTGAATATTTACACAGATTTCAAACACGCTTTTCTAACCACCCATGCCCATGGAGCATTGTATAAAGAAAGGGGGTTGTTGAATTCAGAAGGGAAAGAAATCAAGTATGCAGCAGAAATACTCCAACTATTAGAGGCGGTATGGGAACCGAAGGAAGTCGGTATCATACATTGCAGGGCACATCTAAAAGGCGATAGTGATGTAGTAAAAGGAAATCGCATGGCCGATAGTGCAGCAAAACATGCCGCTGAATCTGGGCAAGAGGAATATGTGGGGTATGTTGCTGCCCTTGTGCCGGCACCTCTGTCTCAATGGACTCCGATATATACAACCCAAGAGATGGAGTGGTTGAAGACTGAAGCTGGGAAATACTTGGAGAATAATTGGTATCAGTTAGAAAATGGAAGAATAGTTATTCCGACATCTCTGGCTATAGAGATTGTTCAGAACTTCCATAATGGTACACATTCAGGAATAGATAGTATGGAAGAATCTCTCAGGAAACATTTCTACATACCAAGATTATCCAATCTTACTCAAGCTATTGTTCGAAGATGTGTTTTGTGCGCACGAAACAATGCAAGACAAGGCCCTGTCAAACCCCCTGGAGTTCAGCATATGGGAGAACTCCCAATGTCAGATTTGCAAGCAGACTACACTGTAATGCCTAAATCTGGGGGATATCGTTACTTGTTGGTAGCTGTGTATACCTACTCAGGTTGGGTAGAAGCTTGTCCAACCCATACAGAAAAGGAAGGAGAAGTTGTACGATTTCTGTTGCGAGAAGTTATACCCAGATATGGACAGCTATTAATGGGAGGAGTTATAGTTCTATAAAAAGCATGTACTCCATGTGTTCGGCCCTCAGACCTGTTTTGGAACGTTAGTTCATCTGAGACCCGATCGGTATGTTAATAACTACCTTTTACTTCCTGAAGACCTGCATCTATCTCTCTGTGTCTGGCTTTTGCAAGTTTTTTCGGTTACAGTTTAGCAATTTACTTTTCAGTTGACTACAATATGGGGTTTAGTGAATACATTTGACAGGGTTATTCATTACAGAAGATGGATAGCAATTGTAGAACAGTGATCACGACAATATGGGGCTTAGTGAAGAAGACAAAAGATGCATCACTGGGTTATTCATTACAGATGGATTTGTGTAGAACTGGCGTCCAAGCGGGCTGCAGCACATAGGCATCAGGTTGCTGGACCACCAGGGAACATCTGGGGAAGCATGTTTAAAAGATATGGGCAAAATGTTGAACTAAACATGCCAACCAGTTTGGTCAGATGACACTGATGGTGCATGTTTAAAAGGAAGAGTGAAACGGCTCCTATAACCTGATGTAGAATGCCAGACAGGTAAGATGACAGCAAGGTGTACTAACAGGACAGGAAGAGAACTGCTCCTCCAGAATATTAAAAAAAATATGTAAAAAGACAGGTTGTGTAGCAATGTCTAACATCTTCAGAACTGATGTAATCCAGAATATTGAAAAGAAAATAATATTATGTCATTTTTGAATGTTAGATGTTTTTGTCACTGATGAGTAATAATGTATCCCCCATAGTTAATATCTTATGAGAACAGTTTACAAGCCTAAAATTCTGCATATACGTAGGAACAAATATACAGACATATGGAAAAATATATTGTGGTCAGTCAAGATAGTAAATTAAATTTCTCATGTTAAATTCCATGCGTTGCATCTGGTTTAATTCCAAAATATTTCCCTGACATTTAATCTTCTTCGGTATAGCAGAGTTCAATTCTACCACAACTGTTTTTTAAAAAATGTATTGAAAAATGACATCCTTAATGCTCATTCGTTGGTAGTGGATAATATAACAGCTTACTGGGGTCACCTAAGGGAACTGATGGAATTAAATTTACTTACAAGTCCTGTTCACACAGCTGGAAAAGCATTAACATTTTTTAAGTCAGATGTGTAATTGGCAACTTTGGTAATGATATCAGCTAATAAAATGCAAGAAAGCCGATGATATAATATGAAATTAACTCATTACTTAGAGAGGGGTGTAGAAAAAAAAACTATTTCCTTGTCATAACATTTAGATATACATTTTTTTTTTTTTTTTACTTTTTTTTGCCCACAAAATCAGTATTGTGTAAGTTGAGAGTTGAGACATTTTTATCATTGTCTTTTTTTATCAAAGTCTCTGACTGAATATGATTTGAATTTCAGTTGTATTCTGATTGGCTGAAAATACCAAGCAACCTATTAGAACACACCACATATTTCATATATATATCCCCTGTCCTTCCCGTTACCTCTCCCTAAAATGACAGAGTTACTGCAGGAATAAAACAGGCAAAGCCCATAACTCGTCAAACATATTTTACGTTGTCTGTAGATATAGTCAAATGGCAGATCACATTTTCAAATCCCACTTATATTAAAAACTGCAATGCATGGCGTGATCAGTGCTGTGGAGTGATGGGAACCTAATCACAGGGCAGGGAAATGTTGGAACTACACTATCGTGCATTACATACTATATGCAGCTGTTGCCATTAACCAAGTCCCCCTTCTCGAAATGGATATTATGGGGACGCTAGGGGTACAACCAGTAAAGCGCTCTCTCTAGCTACTCTCCTACCGTATCACTTAGAATGAGGGGCTTAATTAAGGACATCAGTCATAGCTACCTTTCAACAACCTGGAGCAGGTCGATTTTAAGAAACCGTGTATTGTAACTCACTACAGTACAAAAGTTTTTTTTTTTTTAAATGATATTCCCATTGAAATAACGGACAAGTCAATTGATGTGTAGAAAATTGTGTTAGATAAATAAGAGATAATTATTCTAATGGTTATATAAGGCTCTCAGGCAATCCTGATATCTTTCGATATTCATTTGTTATGACAGTTAAAGTTTATAGTACGGTCCAGGCACTCAAGGTCAATTATATAGCAGCTTTATTGAACACAGAACAAAAATAGGAGCAACGTTTGATCCATAGAAACATAGAATGTGACGGCAGATAGAAAATCTAGTCTGTTAGCATAGTTAATAAGTTAGATAATTATTCTAAATTTGTGACTGGTTATAGTAAACGGACTCTCTAGTAGCTTTAATTCCCTGTTTCTATCATATCCCCCCTGTCTCGTCTTTCCTCCAAGCTATACATGTTAAGATCCTTTAACCTTTCCTGGTAAGTTTTATCCCGCAATCCATGAACCAGTTTAGTAGCCCTTCTCTGAACCCTCTCTAAGGTTTATCCTTCTAGTACGGTCTCCAAGGCACCACTGTACAATGGCATGCTAATACCTTATATTCTGCTAGCATTTCCTGCTTCTATTAGTCTGAACATCAGAATCAAAAATAGGTTAGCAACTGTTATCTGATCCACATATTCTGAGGTCATGGCTTATTCCTGGAACATCAAGCTTGACAATGACCCCTTTGTGGGCCGAAACATGCCTGCAGCCACTGCTTATTTTTGTACTGTGTTTCCTAATAAAGCTGTCTTCATCTATAATTTTAGTTACCCCTCAATAAGATTAGTTTGGCATGATCTCCCTGAAGTAAACCCATGTTGTCTCTGATCTTACTAGATTTTCCTATCCTTCATGTATAGGGGCTTACTGGCCTATAGACTCCTCCCACTGGGTATCTTCTGGGTTGTTAACTAAATCAATGGTTTTGCTAGCACCACTAATATAGCTTTGGGTGTATTCCATCAGGTCCCATTGACTTATTTGACTTTTCACCTCTCCTCTTCATGTGATTTATCAACTGAGTTGTAAATACAGTTTATAGACATAGTTTTTAATCTAACTAATCCTTGTTTTACTATCTAAAAAATGTTTTTTTTGTTTTTTTTTTTTGTCATTCTCTTTTTATTTTTGTTTCACATAGCATGTACATGACATCCAACCAATGCGATATACATTGAGGAAACAGAGAAATATGAGAAGCAAAGGCATCTTTCCCCTTACAGCATTTGTTTGGAAGTTTATCCCTTTTCCTCCGTCCCCTTACAGCGGTCTTCCCATCTGACCCTTTCCCCCTCACCCCCCTCCCCTAGCCGTCCCACGTCTACAAGCACTATGTTGTCTTTGCTTACTGACTTAGTACCTACAATATTCGCCTGTCGAATAGAGTTGTTTAATGTATAGGGGCATACGACTACCGTTCGCCCGTGTTCTCTGGGCCCTTTCTAGGGCTTTAGACGTTTCTCTCGCCTTACATCCCGTGGTTTAGTTCGCCTTACTGAGAAGACTATAGGGCTCTCTCAACTCCCTATCGGAAACAGGTATAGCCCCTTATGACCCTATAAATACATTCTGGGAGGCGACCTGCTATAGCTTTCGACAGGTCTATAAATATGGCCACCTCGCAGTCCATTCCGCATGCCTGCAAATGCCTTTTTTTTTAAAATGATGCGGAGAGAGAAGTAATTGCTTAACATTAAAAACTTTGCTCAACAATATTTCTTGACATCCATAATCCATTAAAGGGACACATCACTGCCCATATACAAAATAAATAAAAATCACTGCTTAGTAGATATACCCCAAACAAAAATAAAAAATAATTATGCATTTTTTTCATTGAAGTTATATTTAAAAGCGCTTGCAAAAACTGCAGCTATCTTGTCTGCTGCCTTTGCAAGCCCTTCCTTTCTAATCCCGCCCACATTTCCTGTGGCTGTCCAATCACAGACTTCCCAATGCAAGGCAGGTGCTCTGGGAGCTGCCTCTTGAGTTCAGTGCAAATAAGCTAACCAAATCCAGGAACCCAGGAACTGTTGTTTGCTTGAAAAGCCAGTGGGTGTAACCAGGTTAATTTATAAAAGTGCAAATTTCTATTGAAATCTGCACTTTTTGCAAAATGCTCAAGAAGGACATACTCTTCAGAAATAAATGTTTTCAGCATTCCAAAGAGCTTTAGGGGTCTGGTCTGTCCCTTTAAGTGAAACTTCCAAAGCATCTCAAACCCCAGCGCACTCACACACTATTCTAAACCATTCGGACCACTGATTAATTACAAGTGACCCCTTGTTTTATTGTCTATTATTTTCACAGGTATATTGTTCACTATCTTTTGTAATGTTTCATTTGATACGAGGACTATGAAATAATTATAGAATAACACTCACTGCTGATAATCCACTGAGAAGACCCTAAAAGAGGACCTGTAACCAAATATAAACTGCTTCTATACTACTCCGTGTTTAGAGACTTGCTATTTCCTTTTGTATAGCAGTCAAGTTGACAAATGCTGACAATGAGTGAACTTAAAGCAAAGTTCTGTGTTACCTATCAATCAAATTGACCAACAATCACCAGAAAACCGATCCCACAGAGGAGCAAACGGCAGACATAATGGAAAGAGAACAACAAAATGGCTGCCCCCAGGTATTGAGATCCAGCACGAGGAAGAAAAGAAGTATAAATACATCCAAATGGCAAGGGAGGGAGTATAATCAACAAGACCCAAGGGGCACAAGGAAAGGAAAACTAAAAAAAAAAAGTTACATGCCCACTTTAAATAACAGCACTGTGGGCAAAGATCCAAGAGACCAAACATGCTGTTGTTCATGACACATGCCTTCTCCTTATCTGCATGGCATTTTGTTACCCCAGTTCAATGATCTTTCTCTGGTGCAGCAATAATCTAGGCCAGGGATGTGCAACATTCGGCACTCAAGATGTTGTGGACTACATTCCCCATAATGTTCTTACACCCATAATGCTGGGAAAGCATCATGGGAGGTGAAGTCCAAAACATCTGGAGTGCGGAAGGTTGCCTATTCCTGATCTAGAATATTTTGTCACCAGCCTGTCTAGAAGGATCCCTGGGTCACTTTTCTGTTTACATTGTCTACTGAGAAATTAACACTTTTCATCAGGAGCTGCTCACCACTGATAACTGTTTTGCCCTCTCCAGGGAGCTCGGTAGAGAGGTGGATATGTGTTCTCTTCATACGAGCTAGACCGCATTGAAGTATCGAAGGCCAGTGACGGAGGTAAGTTCCATGAATAGCCTGTTCAGGAAGCTCATCCCCCAGTGCGGTAAGTTCAACTTCTACCTGAAAGTAGACACATTACATTTTATTTATTAGACGTTAGGCTGTATAGATAAAGAACGATTCTGTGTAGCCTTGTATCCATAGTCTTCTATTAAAACATTTAGTTGATCTCCTTGGTGATTGACTTTGCCCCAGAATTGTTTTTATTATTATGACCAATAGGTTTACTATCCCTGACCTGCTACAGAGATGGGTAATCCTTCTAATGTTGGCCACTATGGCAGCTGACCGAAAGATGAGCCACTACCCGCTTTCACTACTGAGCACTTTTTGATTGAATAAAAATACTGTCATTACATTTATTTGAAGTAAGGGATGCATAGCTAGCATGTAAACATATAATATGGCAATTTTGTTCATACTTGCTTAAATAAGATTGCTTTTGTTTATAGTTTATGTACATTTACATATTTTTTAGTTTTCATTTATTTGTTCAAATATTGGGAATTGAAAATGCTTTGGACAATATGCAATGTCCATCATCTTTCTATATTTTACACAGGGTCAGAAATGTTAGCATAAAAGCAACAATTCGATTTTTATCATATGGGACAAAAATAGATAAATAAAGATGGTCAAATACTTTGCAATAAATAAAACAAAATTGACAAATACCCAAATTATATGTATTTGCAAGGACACTGAAGGCATTACTAGCAGTACAGCTTTCCTATAATGACAACAGAATGTAAAAATGTGAGCATTTGAGCGTAATGCCCACATACAGTTAATACAGTTATATCATATATTTCTAAAATAAATGTGTTTAAAACTGCTATAACAATCAATCAATCTCCGGACTGCAAAAGAAATGCAGACAGTAAATTTGAAGAGTCCATTCACTCCTCCCTCTGATTGACTGTAGAAATATTATAACCAATTGAAACTTCCTGTAATGTTTGATAGCAGGGGGTGGAGCTTACATTTTCAGCAACATAACTGGCACTATATATCAATGACAAGTGGCTTCTGAAAGAGAAATTTGTTCCTCTACTGGCTGATAAGCATAACTAGATTACAAATGAAGGTGAGTGAGGCTTTATAGACTAGATTACATACTGCAAAATACATGACCATAATAAGTTTACACTCAATTTGGGTATTGAAAAGGCATGACTGGAGCCAGAATTCACATTAGCTGCTTTGGAAAATATTGTGTATCCCTGACCATTACTATAATCAGACTGTAAAGTTTCCTGTCCTTTAAATAATTTATCCTAACGGTTACAAATAAGGAATTTCAAATGGGCTTGAATTTGTTTTGGATTTCAGCCATCTGGCTGAAATCCGGACCCAAATGTTTTAAACCTGGGCTTGTCTTTTAAAAAATCTAAACTATTTGCCTACTGCAGTGCTTTGTCAGTGCTTCCAAGCCAGCCATCACATTACAAAAGTTAAACAAATAAATTACAAATCCTATGGGTGTCAATAAGACCTCAATAATGCTATAAGGGTGATTTAAAACCTCCATATGCACACACCTGATATACAGTGTTTATCCAGTATTTAGTGAATAACCCACTTAGTTGCCCATTATAACAGCCAAGTTCTATTAAAGGACCACTATAGCGCCAGGAAAACATACTCGTTTTCCTGGCACTATAGGGTCTCTAGGTCCTCCCCACCCTCAGGGCCTCCCTCCCGCCGGGCTCTAGGGGGTTGAAGGGGTTAAATTTACTTATTTTTCCACGCCGGGCTCGGGACTCTCCTCCTGCTCTCCTCCTCCTTCTTGTCGTCATCGGCTGAATGCGCATGCGCGGCACGAGCCGCGCACATTCAACCAGTCCATAGGAAGGCATTCTCAATGCTTTCCTATGAAAATCACAGTGAAAAGTGCGGAGGCGCCTCTAGCGGCTGTCAATGAGACAGCCACTAGAGGCTGGATTAACCCTATTATTAACATAGCAGTTTCAGTGAAACTGCTATGTTAATAGAAGAAAGGGTTAATCCTAGCTGGACCTGGCACCCAGACCACTTCATTAAGCTGAATTGGTCTGGGTGCCTATAGTGGTCCTTTAAAGATAAGTAAGTCAATCGTACTATTTACATTGTATCATCTTAGCATAAATATATTGTGGATAATAGGACATTGAGTCCAGGCACGGATATTTAGGCCATATTTGCCTTTTAATGGTCTGGTGGAGAATGGAGATTGTCTCCTTTCATTCTACTTTGAAATAATCCATTTATTGTTCTTTGAAGAGTAAATGTTGGCAAGTAATATGAATTGCTCTGGATTTAGAAATTAGTATTAGCTTTTGATTATTTATGTCTATTGATACCAACATTTATAAAGATGAGAATAAAAGATGACTTTATAGACACCCGTGATTTCCTTTTCCTAACAGTTATGGAACCTTATTAGAACTGATAAACAAATACACTGTATCAATGAGAAGGTAGCTGTTGCAACAATTTTGCATCTCTTAGCATTATGTGGAGCCAATGGCAGATAGGGCGTGTGGTGAAAATCTCTTACTTCCAGTCCTTTAAATTGGTTATACTTCAGGAGTCACAACCCATAATGTGAGTTATAACACAAACATGACCACTGAAAAATAGTACTTAGGGCCTCTAGTTTCAACAACAACCAGATAGCGCATCTGAACAGGGAGGATGTCCCTCATCCAACTGGGCATACAGTTTGTGCAGCACCTCACATGGGACTTACCCAGTCGAGAGATCTCCACCTACCCAGTACCACATTGCGACTAGAATCTGGAATCCCTTTGAAAATTGTGGTCTCCCTGGCAGGAGTTGCTCACTAATCATACAGCTCTAATACCAGATGGAAACCTGTGAGTGTTCTTGCAGACCCTTGACCTCTAACAACCTAGTATGGCCATATTAGTGTATTATTTCGCTTTGAGCAAAAAAACACGCTACCCTTTTAGAATTCCCATTTTTTTCTTTTTACCTCTCCTCCCTTTTACTATCTCTATCCCCAAACCTCTTTTCCTTGCTCTCCTTCTCCCTTCTAAACCCTTGAGGTTGATACCCTCCCCCCATGATTCTTAGTCAAATCAATCGATAAATGTAACCACCTGACATTACCTTCAAAGTGTGCCCTTGATTGGCTCGGATCTCAGTGACACCAGAATGCTCGGAATGTCGTAAAGTGAACCGCTGCTTGTCATTAGAGTCCACTACTCGCTCAATGTCGGTTTGGGAATATGAGCGGAACTGAGGAAGGACGAGAAGAGCTGAAAGTGGCACAAAGCCATCTGAGAAGTAAATGAAAAAAGGTGAGGTTGAAGCAAAATAAAGGCAGGAAAAAGTTGAGAAATATGAAAAGCTTAAATGAGCAAAAGAGTCAAAGTTAGGGATGGACGGAAAATGGGAAGCCAAAGACAGTTAAGGGAAAATGGTTAACCAATCAGATAAGGAAAAGAGCAGAATAAAAAAATAAAAAAAAACACTGACAAACGTTCAAGCACTATGCTAACTGAAAGATTGCAAGAAAAAGGTGGGAAATGTATTTAGCCCAGTGCAGAGACATGTATACTACCTGATCCCATGGGCAGACCCAGACTATCCGCTCCATGACGCAAAGCATATGACAGGAGCTTGGACAAGCGCACATTAGGATCCTGAGGAAAGATAAAGATTAAATACACAAATACACAAATCTCTGGAATAATCAGGCACTGATTCTGATACGGGACATAAAATGTATCTACCAACTAAGTATGTTACTAAACTGGCCATTTTTTAATAATCATTGCTGTCATCTTCTCAAATAAGCATTGCAACCATCTTTTAGTGTCGAGGCTCTGGCACCAACCAAATGTCAGGATTCTGACTATCAGTCAGTGAAAATTGGAGACACAGGACAGCAAATTAGTGGAGTCCTAGATTGGGATATTGGGATGACAGTCTCTTCAAAGAGCCGGTCAGTATAGCAACCATGTGTAGCTTAATTAGGTAGGTTTTTACCACTAAGTAATAGCAAGAACCTGTAAATATTCCCTCCTTTGTCAGACTACATATGGTTTAATCACTAAAAAAATGACTACTGCAATGTGGAATGTGGGCCAAGTCAGCTCCAATGTAAGTGCTCAGCAAATAAAGTATTTACCAAGCACTTCAGAGCTATCCAGAGTTAAGCCTCTCATGACGTCAATAGCTGAACTCAGGCAAATCTTGTTGCACCAGAATTGGCAGCAAAATGCCTCCAGGGTTAACAAGTTTGTTGCATTGATCTCAGCAGGGTTCATGTAACCGAGAAACCCTGCTGAGTTTAACTTGTTCCAAGTAACAATATGTGTGAATAACTGACAAAACTATGTGCAAACATCACATGCAAGAATTCTACTTTCAGAATATGTAAGACTCATATCCAAACTCTCCCTTCCCTCCTGATTGCTGTGTCACTTCTCAAACATGTTACAGAAATTTAAAAAGATACCCAATGGATATTAAGGCAGGAAGACAAGTCATGTGCATGATAGTAAATATTATGTGATACGCAAAAGAGACAGGAGATAAAACATGCAAACTGGTTAAAGGGACACTATAGTCACCCAGACCACTTCAGCTCAATGAAGTGGTCTGGGTGCCAGGTCCCTCAGGTTTTAACCCTTCACATGTAAACAGAACAGTTTCAGAGAAACTGCTCTGTTTACATAGCAAAATTAATCCAACCTCTAGTGGCTGTCTTCCTGACAGCCACTAGAGGCGCTTCTGCGACGCTGGATGCGAAATTAGCATCCAGCGTGCAGAACGTCCATAGGAAAGCATTGAGAAATGCGCATTCCGCTCCACTCGGGCGCTGATGTCGGTGGGGGAGGAGAGGTCAACAGAGCTGAGGGAGCCCGGGGCTGGATTAACCTTCAGCACCACAGGAGGGAGACCCTGAGGGTGAGGGTCCCCCAAAGATGACATAGTGTCAGGAAAACTGGTTTGTTTTTCTGACACTATAGTGATCCTTTAACAAACATTATACATGCATTAAAGAGACAATATAGGCACCCAGACCACTTCAGCTCATGGAAGTGGTCTGCATCCCTGTCTCCGGTTATTGATAAAGTGCAATATTAGTTAGTAGGGTTAACTCCACCTCTAGTGGCTGTGTACCGCCTTAGCTTCTGGGTCCTCAGTGAACTTTTGGTCTGCTAAATGACACTGGACATCCTCACGTTTTATATCCAGCATCAGCTAAAATCCCATAGGAAAGCACTGATTCAATGTTTTCCTATGTGGTAGTCCTAATGTGATTGCGGCGCTCGCCTGACATCGGTGGAGGTGGAGCAGAGGCTGAATCAGGTATGTGACAAAAGCGTTTTTCAGCGCCATGAGACGAGGAGGGCAGAAAGGAAGGGGGGCACTACAATACAACTTTGTATAACACAAGGATGGAGAGCGCAAGGAAGGGGGCACTACAATACAACTTTGTATTCCTAGCAGTATAGTTAATACATAATAAAGAATCTAGTGCACTTACACACGCAACCCATTTTCAAAGCTCACAAAATGTAAGTTTTCTTTTTAAAACAACTGAAGTAGATAATGGGAATTAAGTTATAGTATCGTAACTTTTAGCTTTAATGAATTAAATGGCATTCACATAAGATACATAAATTTTTAGTTGGTCAAAAGATACGTGTATATCAAATTTCAAAATACATTCCTGATTTTTCTCACCTGTGTTTTCCCTCGGAGTCCTCTCTTCCTGTTACTAGATCCTGGTCTCTCCATTTCCTGATAGAATATATGGGGGGAAAAAAGCACAATTATAGTTCATAATATCTGATGTAATAACACAGTATACACGCTCTATATTCAAAGCTGTTTTGAAGTGACACTCAAGGCCACTAAAGCACTTAAAGGGATTCTATAATGTTAGGAATACAAATATGTGTTCCTAACACTATAGCACCATCTAAGTACTCCCCTCCCTCATGGCTCCCCTCCTCCCCCCCAAATATAAAGTGTTAAAAAAAAGTAGTCACTTATTTGATTTCAGGGCCAATATCCCTCGGCGCTCTGCATCTGCCTACATCATAAGACGAGGGGACCAAATGCACATGCACGGCAACTTCCACAATTGTATTATGCTCTCCCCATAGAAAAGCATTTTGAGGAGGGACACTCCAGTAGACAAGCTGAGGGGAGGTTTGGATTTCACACAATGGTGTGCTGCATGGGGGGTGCTGCCATTGGTTGTCTGCCACTGGCATACTAGGTGGTCTGACGACAGATGTCAATAACGCACACATTTGACATTAAACTCATGTTCCCGAACTGGCTAATGACAAAGCTGGAGGTGGAGTTACACCTCCATCAGCAACCTCAGATATCTCTATATATGTTTCATGCTGCTCATATAGACTCCAAGCGCTATGACCATTTTAAAACACTGAAGTGGTATTGGTGCTTGAAGTAACACTTTAAAGAAACATTATAGGCACCCAGACCACTTAATTTTAATGAAGTGGTCTGGATGCTATGTCCCCCCATTTAGCCCTGCAGCTCAAACCACTGCTATTCTGGAGGAAAAGCAATGCTTTAATTGCAGGGTTAATGTACATTGAGTGACTTTCTTACTGACAGCCACTAGAGGCGTTTTGACCGAAATAGTGGAGTAAACCTTCACTATGTCTATTAGATGGTCTCAGGAGACCATCTGATTGATACAGCGCAGTATTTTATTATTATTATTATTTTTTATAAATTCTTTATTTTGTTGGTTTTTCGTTTTTGTACTTTATGGGGAAGGGGTTACAGAAAGAAGAGATTGGGATGGAACGTTGGTTTTACAGATAACAGTTTGTTACAGTATTAACAAGTCAGGTATTGGCTTATGCGTTGCTGTGCCTAGTTTGTATCAGTTTTCCTGAATGATGCTCGGCATATGTTTGTAGTACTCCTTTCGGGAGGAGCTTTTCCTATGGGAAAGCATTGGATTGGCTGAGATGATCAATCTCAATGACCTTAGCCAAAGAGGCGGAGCTGCACTCCAGAGACCAGTGCTGCGTGGGAGAAAAGATAAGTAAACTAATCTTTTTAATATTTGAAGTGGGGACCCGGTCACCTAAACGGTAACTACGGCCTAATTTCTCAACCCATGGTACACATATCCCAAGGGGAACACACACCGCAGGCAAGTAATACGCCAAGAGCTGGCTGACTGGCCACTTAGTGTCCCACAGGAGGCGGCTGGCTGAGGGAGAATGGAGGAGGAGGCGGGCTGTACTCTTCATGAACTTCCAGCATTACTCCCTTGCGTGCCTTCCAGTGATGCAGGGAGCCGTGTTATGACATCACTCTGGCCCCGGCATCACTAAACAGAGAGCAGGGGAGCAGTGTTGGAAGAGCACGAATATTATACAAACCTAACACTGGACTCCAGGGAATGGACCCACTCCAGCTCTCCCAAAGGTAGGAAGGTTGGGTGGACTTACATTAAAATAATAAAAATAATATGTTTGTGTGTCTGTCAGTGAATGTGTGTCAGTGTGTGTCTGTCAGTGTGTGTCAAATCAGTGAGTTTGTGTGTCTGTCAGTGAATGCGTGTTTCAGTAAGTGTGTCTGTCAGTTTTCTGTTTTCTATGTCAGTCTTCTGTGTGTAAATATGTGTGTCAGTGTCCTCTGTGTGTAAATGTGTGTGTGCAAAAAGAGTGCATCTATCACCATGAAAAATGTCAGGATTTAAATATTATAATACCCTATGAGATATACGGTAGTTTTGCACCTTAGGTGCCTGGAATGTATTTTTAAAAATATTTTTTTATATTGGTACTTGGAGGCTGTAGCAGAACAATATGGCATATATTTTAGAAAAAGAGGGCCCTAGTCGTCTTGTAAATCCTATGCAAATCCCTAGTTTTGCTTTCAATTAAAGGAAAATTTTAAGTAGGTTAGCAACTTTAGCTTAACGAGGTACTGTCATCCTCCACCACCAAAATGAGTATTTAATGAAGATAAAATGTTTATAAACTATGTAGACTGTTGGAATTTCACAAAGTGACTACTGTACGTTGTATCAGTATTTTTCCTACACCTGACAAAGCTTGACAAAAGGCGGAGCTAGCACTGCTAAGCCTTGTCATATTCCCCAGCTGTCATTAGTGATGGCTATAGGAAAATTAAGACATTTCTATGAAGAATCTTGCATGCGCAAGAATACAGCGATAACAGAATGGCGAAGAGGAAGAGGATGACGGCGTCCAAAAGGGACTGGTTCAGGTAAGTAAATCTCATCTTTCCGTGCCTACCCCCCTCACCCCCCATTGGTCGCTGGACCCCAACTAGTCATCATTGGGTGGGTCTTTGCATAATTTGCGGACGGTGACAGAGCTGCTTTAATGAAGTGGTTTTGGTCTACATGCCACTCCAATGTAACTGCTCAGCTCTCTGCTTCTCTTTTATAACCTGCATTCATATTATTGACAATAGTGGAGCTCAATGAGCAAATAAGATTATAATCCCAAAGAACTGGATTCCCCATAGAGTGCTATAATGGAGCTAAAGCCAGGGTTGACACCTGCAAAGCATCAAGGGAATTGTAGTCCTACAGCAGCAGGTGGGCCTCCTGTCGGCCCAGTCATCATATTTAGCAAAATGTTTCTCCGTCAGATAAACTGTAAAACATAACAAAAAAATAGCACCAACCAAGGATCGGAAATCCACTCACCCTGTCTTACCTCCGTTTACTCAGCGTTCGTCCTAGTAACGCGCGTTGCATGACGGTAAATGTAGTCTCAGGGTTCATGATAAACTTTTTCCCTTTAGCAGAAACTGCAGGAAGGGGGAATGGTACATTTATTATAAAGTATTCTGCTGGATCTGCACTTACAGAGGGAGAAGAGTGTAAATGGGCAAAGGGATTAAAAAATAGAGTGCTGGATAGCCTTACAGGCAGCAGAAATAGAGTTGTTGTTCGTTTTTGTTGGATTACAACTCTCATCACCCTCAGCCTGGCTGGTTTGTCAGCTGCTGAAAAATGTTTTTTTTTTCCTGACACTAGGTCATTCTGTTCGCAATACTGTTCTGGTTAATAGTAAAATTTATCAAATTGGTTGACAAGTTCCATAAATAATATTGTCATTTGAATTTCAGAGTCCCACTAATAATTAGTTAAATCCACAAATGAGTGTGGAAATAAATTCAATGTATTATTACATATATATATATATATATATATATATATATATATATGTATGTATGTATGTAAATTTATAAAAAAAAAATATTGATAAACGAAAGCAAGTGACCGGTGGCCCTGCGTGTGCAGATTAGTGATTGTTGGGATGGTGGTGTAATGGGATTGCAATCCATAGGGAATAGGGATAGTACAATACTTCATGATAGTACTGTTTTTTTTTTTGCATAAATATTTTTTATTGAAACATTCTCAACAGAAAAAATTATAATACAGTAAAAAAAAAAAAGAGTTTCCCAGAGTTTGAGTCCACAAATATTTTGGTGTATTTGCAGGGGATGTATTATGGTAAGTGTGGAGGGGGTGAAATTGGGCTTAAATTTTATATAATATATGAATTATATGCATAATATAAATATATTTATTAAACCCTTTTTACTAAAAAATAAATAAATAAATACAATTTATTCTCCACTCTCTCTGGTTACCTTGGGGCAGGGAGAGGGCATCTTTTAGACCTCGGTGGTCCAGTGTGGAGACAGAGTTTCTGGTCTCTTTCTCCAGATGCAATGGGTCTTGCGCAATCTGGATTTACAGCAGGAGTACAGTCCCATGGTAGCCCGTGGCAACGCACTGAACTAGATCCATTAAACAAGGTCTGAAAGCGCTGGGTGAGAGCCATGCATAGCTCCGAGTCCCCGGCCGGCCCAAGTCTTCAAACTTGGGGCTAATAATTATACATGGGATTTTAAAGACCCAGGACTTTTCGGAGGCCACTTGTGGCTCTAGCCTGGGTTAGACTCCCACGCAACACCCTTGTTAAAGGCAGGGCCGGCCTTAGGCAATTAGGCGCCCTGTGCAAAAAGTCTTCACGGCGCCCCCCCCACCTCCCACCAAGTTGCCTGAATACAGTAACACACACAGGCACCGGGGACGTGTGTATCACGAGGCAAACAAGGCATCTGCCTTGGCGCCACTTTGCAGGGGGCGGCAAAAAAAAGCATCCCTCCAAACCCCAGGCAGATCCCTTGCTTGCCTCGCATCCTGGGGGGCTCAAGAGCTGACGGCTGGCCACTTTTGAGCCCCCCCAAGGCTGGCAGCGGGCAGCGAAGGAGCATACTCACCTGAGCTCTTCCTGCTCAGCTTCCTCTGCGCCGCTTAATGAAGCCGGGAGCCAGAATATGGCGTCAGTCCGGCTCCCGGCATCACTAAGCGCTGCTTACTCAGCCTGTGCGCCCCCTGCCTGCCTGCCCAGCAGCCACACTGGACTGCTGGTAAGAAATCCACTCCAGCTTTCCCAGGGAGGCTGGGTGGATTTAAAATAAATGTAAAAATATTAGTTTGTGAGTGTTAGTGGAAATGTCTGTGTGTGTGTCTGTGAGTGTTTATTTTGAAGTGAATGTGTGTGTGTGTGTGTGTGTGTGTGTCTGTAAGTGAATGTGTGTGTGTCTGTGAGTGAATGTGTGTGTTGGTCAGTGAGTGTATATGTGTCAGTCAGTGAGTGTGTATGTGTCAGTCAGTGAGTGTGTATGTGTAGTCAGTGAGTGTGTATGTGTCGCCAGTGAGTGTGTGTCGGTCAGTGAGTGTGTAGGTCAGTGAGTGTGTGTGTCGGTCAGTGAGTGTGTGTCGGTCAGTGAGTGTGTGTCAGTCAGTGTGTATGTGTCGGTCAGTGGAGTCGTGCATCTTTCAGTGAGTGCTTGCGTCTGTCAGTGAGAGTGTGCATCTGTCAGTGTGTGTCCAAGTAATAGTGTATGTGTGTATGTCATTGTTTGTCAGTGTATATGAGAGTGTGTCTGTCAGTGAGTGTGCGTCTGTCAGTGAGTGAGCGTCTGTCAGTCAAAGTGCGGCCTTGACAGGAAGGGGTGGGGGAAATTTAAACTCGGTTACAGGCATGTACACACACACTCAGTTAAAAGCAGTCACACATACAGGCACAGGCACAAACAATGGCACAGCTACAGCGACACACACAGACAGACAGTCACATAGGCAGTCACACACACAGACAGACACACAGTAACATACACATAGACAGTTATACACACACAGGCAGGCAGTCACACAGATAGAAAGTCACACACACAGGCAGGCAGTCACACACAGACAGATAGTTACAGACAGACACACACAGGCAGGCAGGCAGTCACATACAGGCAGTCACACACAAAGGCAGTCACACACACTAACAAGTCAGGTATTGGCTTATGCGTTGCTGTGCCTAGTTTGTATCAGTTTTCCTGAATGATGCTCGGCATATGTTTGTAGTACTCCTTTCGGGAGGAGCTTTTCCTATGGGAAAGCATTGGATTGGCTGAGATGATCAATCTCAATGACCTTAGCCAAAGAGGCGGAGCTGCACTCCAGAGACCAGTGCGGCGTGGGAGAAAAGATAAGTAAACTCATCTTTTTAATATTTGAAGTGGGGACCCGGTCACCTAAACGGTAACTACGGCCTAATTTCTCAACCCATGGTACACATATCCCAAGGGGAACACACACCGCAGGCAAGTAATACGCCAAGAGCTGGCTGACTGGCCACTTAGTGTCCCACAGGAGGCGGCTGGCTGAGGGAGAATGGAGGAGGAGGCGGGCTGTACTCTTCATGAACTTCCAGCATTACTCCCTTGCGTGCCTTCCAGTGATGCAGGGAGCCGTGTTATGACATCACTCTGGCCCCGGCATCACTAAACAGAGAGCAGGGGAGCAGTGTTGGAAGAGCACGAATATTATACAAACCTAACACTGGACTCCAGGGAATGGACCCACTCCAGCTCTCCCAAAGGTAGGAAGGTTGGGTGGACTTACATTAAAATAATAAAAATAATATGTTTGTGTGTCTGTCAGTGAATGTGTGTCAGTGTGTGTCTGTCAGTGTGTGTCAAATCAGTGAGTTTGTGTGTCTGTCAGTGAATGCGTGTTTCAGTAAGTGTGTCTGTCAGTTTTCTGTTTTCTATGTCAGTCTTCTGTGTGTAAATATGTGTGTCAGTGTCCTCTGTGTGTAAATGTGTGTGTGCAAAAAGAGTGCATCTATCACCATGAAAAATGTCAGGATTTAAATATTATAATACCCTATGAGATATACGGTAGTTTTGCACCTTAGGTGCCTGGAATGTATTTTTAAAAATATTTTTTTATATTGGTACTTGGAGGCTGTAGCAGAACAATATGGCATATATTTTAGAAAAAGAGGGCCCTAGTCGTCTTGTAAATCGTATGCAAATCCCTAGTTTTGCTTTCAATTAAAGGAAAATTTTAAGTAGGTTAGCAACTTTAGCTTAACGAGGTACTGTCATCCTCCACCACCAAAATGAGTATTTAATGAAGATAAAATGTTTATAAACTATGTAGACTGTTGGAATTTCACAAAGTGACTACTGTACGTTGTATCAGTATTTTTCCTACACCTGACAAAGCTTGACAAAAGGCGGAGCTAGCACTGCTAAGCCTTGTCATATTCCCCAGCTGTCATTAGTGATGGCTATAGGGAAATTAAGACATTTCTATGAAGAATCTTGCATGCGCAAGAATACAGCGATAACAGAATGGCGAAAAGGAAGAGGATGACGGCGTCCAAAAGGGACTGGTTCAGGTAAGTAAATCTCATCTTTCCGTGCCTACCCCCCTCACCCCCCATTGGTCGCTGGACCCCAACTGGTCATCATTGGGTGGGTCTTTGCATAATTTGCGGACGGTGACAGAGCTGCTTTAATGAAGTGGTTTTGGTCTACATGCCCCTCCAATGTAACTGCTCAGCTCTCTGCTTCTCTTTTATAACCTGCATTCATATTATTGACAATAGTGGAGCTCAATGAGCAAATAAGATTATAATCCCAAAGAACTGGATTCCCCATAGAGTGCTATAATGGAGCTAAAGCCAGGGTTGACACCTGCAAAGCATCAAGGGAATTGTAGTCCTACAGCAGCAGGTGGGCCTCCTGTCGGCCCAGTCATCATATTTAGCAAAATATTTCTCCGTCAGATAAACTGTAAAACATAACAAAAAAATAGCACCAACCAAGGATCGGAAATCCACTCACCCTGTCTTACCTCCGTTTACTCAGCGTTCGTCCTAGTAACGCGCGTTGCATGACGGTAAATGTAGTCTCAGGGTTCATGATAAACTTTTTCCCTTTAGCAGAAACTGCAGGAAGGGGGAATGGTACATTTATTATAAAGTATTCTGCTGGATCTGCACTTACAGAGGGAGAAGAGTGTAAATGGGCAAAGGGATTAAAAAATAGAGTGCTGGATAGCCTTACAGGCAGCAGAAATAGAGTTGTTGTTCGTTTTTGTTGGATTACAACTCTCATCACCCTCAGCCTGGCTGGTTTGTCAGCTGCTGAAAAATGTTTTTTTTTTCCTGACACTAGGTCATTCTGTTCGCAATACTGTTCTGGTTAATAGTAAAATTTATCAAATTGGTTGACAAGTTCCATAAATAATATTGTCATTTGAATTTCAGAGTCCCACTAATAATTAGTTAAATCCACAAATGAGTGTGGAAATAAATTCAATGTATTATTACATATATATATATATATATATATATATATATATATATGTATGTATGTATGTAAATTTATAAAAAAAAAATATTGATAAACGAAAGCAAGTGACCGGTGGCCCTGCGTGTGCAGATTAGTGATTGTTGGGATGGTGGTGTAATGGGATTGCAATCCATAGGGAATAGGGATAGTACAATACTTCATGATAGTACTGTTTTTTTTTTTGCATAAATATTTTTTATTGAAACATTCTCAACAGAAAAAATTATAATACAGTAAAAAAAAAAAAGAGTTTCCCAGAGTTTGAGTCCACAAATATTTTGGTGTATTTGCAGGGGATGTATTATGGTAAGTGTGGAGGGGGTGAAATTGGGCTTAAATTTTATATAATATATGAATTATATGCATAATATAAATATATTTATTAAACCCTTTTTACTAAAAAATAAATAAATAAATACAATTTATTCTCCACTCTCTCTGGTTACCTTGGGGCAGGGAGAGGGCATCTTTTAGACCTCCGGTGGTCCAGTGTGGAGACAGAGTTTCTGGTCTCTTTCTCCAGATGCAATGGGTCTTGCGCAATCTGGATTTACAGCAGGAGTACAGTCCCATGGTAGCCCGTGGCAACGCACTGAACTAGATCCATTAAACAAGGTCTGAAAGCGCTGGGTGAGAGCCATGCATAGCTCCGAGTCCCCGGCCGGCCCAAGTCTTCAAACTTGGGGCTAATAATTATACATGGGATTTTAAAGACCCAGGACTTTTCGGAGGCCACTTGTGGCTCTAGCCTGGGTTAGACTCCCACGCAACACCCTTGTTAAAGGGACAATGCTCATTGTAGTGGTTTTGGTGCAAAGAGGCTTTATCACTATCACTGTAGCACCTAAGGTTGGTGGAAATTAACGTATACATTATTCAAGTGGCAGACAATGGTCCATGTTTAAAGTAGTGGCTAGACTACCTTTTAAAGTGGCTTTAGGGGTCTGGAGTGTCCCTTATTGGTGCATCCTGGTCCACCATGCATCATATGATGCCACAATATGTAAAGTGTGATGGTTTTTCTGTTGGATAGTGTTTTTGATAATAAATTGGTGTATGATAAATAATAAACGGTAGAAATATTAAATATATCATAATTTCAGTAAATGAATCTAGACATTCAGAAATGAGTGTCTTTCGGTAGACACACAAATAATAGGATTGTTTCGGCGTGCATGATCTGCTTATGAATTCATTGTGTTGGCTTTGTTTCATGAATCGAAACTATCAGGCAAACTGCCTAAATCCTGATGGCAGCGAGTCAGGTTTATATTTTAAGAGAAACACAATTGTTAAATGTTTTGAGTTGCACAGATACAGTAAACATTAGCAGCATTGTCACTTGTTCTGAAAAACAGTGCGCCATGATAAGGAAAACATATAAAAAGCTTTACCTTTATAAAAAAATTTAAATTTAATTTGGTTTTATTCCAAAATTCTTCAATGTCATTACATAGGTCATATCAAGAATTGCATGCAATGTACAATCAGGCATCCTTATTGTCACAGCACTGCAGTGTACTCACCTTCCCCTTGGCACCCGCGACGCCCTCGCAGCAGAGTCTTGGTACTCGCTGGGTCTGCTGCGGCTTCTTCTGTCCCTCTCACCGCCGAGGTCCGCGGCGAGCACACCGTCACGGCAAGATGGCGGCTGCCATGCAGAGCCAGCGTTCTGCACAAAGAGGAGGAGGAGAGCTGCAGATCCATGTTTACCGCCTGACTGTTTTTTTTTCTACGTCCCCTGCTCCTGTTTCCTTGGATTCTTCATTTGGCTTCTTCCCATTAAAGGCCTCCACGCCACCACAGACCCTTTGGGACCCTGTCTCCACTTCCAGGTGCTCATGAGGGTCGTGATAGTAAAGGAGTGCTGTTCCGCTGCAACTGGGTTCCATCATCTCTGCAAATTCCCCAGGTGGGTGTGACACTGATATAGATAAATTCAACACATTTTCTGGGCACAAGAAGGTACATAGCCTATTGTTTGTGACTAGTCGAGTGGTTTACATCTGGCAGTGACGTGTATTGCCTATCTGTGTTATTATCATGGAAATGCATTGTCACATTTTTTCACTTCGCCATACCATTCTGACATATTGATACCATTATACACATAGGAACCGTAACCGAAGAGTATATGTGGGTTAACAAAGAAAAAAAAGGGAGTGAGGGGTATGGGAGATTGTCTGTATCTGTCTGATGGTCTCTTCTGAGTTCGAACATTGCGGGTTTAACCCCGGATAGGGAGTATGAGTAGTGTACTGTCTGCTGCTGCAAGTTTACCAGTGCAGTCTATTATCCCTACAGAGGCTTTTTCTACGGTGCGCAGGAAAAGGCACAGCTATAGTTATGCTGGGTCCCATCTCTATAGATGCCTCTAGTGTATCAGATCAGTAATAAATTATACGTTAGTTATAAGTTAATCGGATTTCAGAGGGGTTTAACAATGTTTTTTTTACGGTGTCTGTGGGCCAATGGCTACGAATGTAGCCCAATACTGCTCCCATAAGAGCCATGTGTCTAGATAAGTTTGCTTCCTACCCCGGGTAGCCCAATGCAGCTCTTCAAGGGTACGTGTGTTTTCCAGATATAATAATTTGGGCAACGTCATCATTTTGAGAATATTTATTCTGCCTAGTAAGGAGAAGTCGCTTCGCTTATTTTTTTAGGAATTCCTCTTTACATTAAACCCTTTAGCTTGACGGATTCCCTGTTGAACATTGCTTTTACAAATATGGAGATCTGTATTATTTATTTCATATTTTAAAAAATATATATTTTTGCTATACAGGTCCACATCTAGGAGCTACAAAAAAAAGCCCAGTTGTATCCTGGATGCACCTTTTACTGTATCCTGGCAACTTCAGAGAAGAGTAAGAAACAGTAAATGCTAATTATCATTTTTGTATTTAAATTTAATTGTGGGATTATATATATGCTATTTCTATAAAATAGGGAACTTACTCAGACATACGTTAGGTAGCATTGAACTGTGTGCCACCCAACTACTGTAAATTGTGGCAGTGCAGGGGATTCGGGTTTTGGGATACCTAATTTCATGCAAACTACTCAAAAATGGTTTTAAAAAAAAGACTGCACTGAATAATCTTTACCATCTTTATAACAATTACCCCTATAATAATCTATAGTGGTTATGTTGATTGAAGTTCCCTTTACAGAGAACATATGTCATAAAAATTTTTTGGAAGGTATTGTTCTACATGGATTAACCATACGAAAATAAGAACTAATCATTAACTATGCAAATTATTACACATTAAAAATAATAATTCAGAAGCAGTTTACTAAATCTAGTAACTAAATTCTAGTCACGGTAGTCACAGATTACGGTACATTACTGTCAGCAGGATGTGTGGGGGCCTGGTTTTTCTACTGATATAAATTCAAATGTAGCCATATTTCAGCGAACCCCTTATTTTCTGTGGATTTGTCTTAACAAAGCACATTACAATGTACCCATTTTATATCTCACCTTTTTTCCACAGCTTTTTTTATATTATTGGACTTGAAGTACAGCATGACAGCCATTTTGTACACCAATGGTAAACATCTTAAAGTGGATCTTTCACTTTCAACGTCTTTGCATGTTTTGAAGCTTTGGCTTGCAATGAAAGGTAGGTTTTAATTACATGAAGCAGTCCCTCGGGCAGCAGCCATCGTCTTCCAAGGGACCCTCTTCAAGAGTGTAACACTGTGGTCTATGACGGGTCCTGCAAGACCTGGAGGGCATTGGTGTATTCTAGGCATGACAAAACTCAGGTACGCCCACCCCCCCTCTAAATTTCACTTCCTGTTAAAACCTAACACGCCCTTTGCCTAACAGACATGCCTTCACTGATGCATACACTGACATACACTTACTGACAGATACACTGTTTAACCAACACACACTTGAAACATACATACTCACTGACAGACACACACACTCACGTTCACCAACAGACACACACATCCACTGACAGACACACTAACTGACAGACATGCATTCACTGACAGATACACATACACACTCACTGACAGACACACACTCTCTCAGTGTCAGACACACACACTGACAAACACACATATACACCCACTGACAGACACACACACACTCACGTTCACCAACAGACACACACATCCACAGACAGACACACTAACTGACAGACAGGCATTCACTGACAGATACACATACACACTCACTGACAGACGCACACTCACTCAGTGTCAGACACACACACTGACACACATATATACTCACTGACAGATACACACTGACAAACACACATACACACTCCCTGACAGACACATATACACTCAGTGTCAGACACACACATTCACTAACAGACATATACATTGACTGACAGATACAGTTTCAGTGACAGACACACAGACATACACACATTCACTAACAGACCTATAGATTGACTGACAGATACACAGTCTCGGTGACAGACATGCATACACACACTTACAGACATACACATTCACTAACAGACACATGCATACTCACTAACAAACATGC